CTGACACCTGGAGATTCCACAGCCATGAGTGGGTTTAACTTTGGCGGCACCGGGGCCCCTGCTGGCGGCTTTACGTTTGGCACTGCGAAGACTGCAACCACTACACCCGCCACTGGCTTTTCCTTCTCTTCCGGCACTGGAGGGTTTAATTTTGGGACTCCCTCCCAGACAACTACAGCCACCCCTTCCACTGGCCTCTTCTCACTCACCACACAGACCCCAACCACACAGACACCAGGATTCAACTTCGGGACAACACCTGCTTCTGGAGGAACTGGCTTCTCCCTGGGGATCAGCACCCCAAAGCTCAGCCTGAGCAACACAGCTGCCACATCAGCCACAGCCAACACTGGCAGCTTTGGACTTGGTAGTAGCACCCTTACCAATGCCATCTCAAGTGCTGGCACCTCCAGCCAGGGGACAGCCCCCACTGGCTTTGTGTTTGGGTCCTCTAACACTTCTGCTCCATCTACTGGCTCCACAGGGTTCTCATTCACCAGCAGCAGTGCATCCCAGCCTGGAGCCTCTGGCTTTGGCCTTGGCTCTGTGGGCAGCTCAACCCAGCCCACAGCACTGTCTGGCTCTCCCTTCACTCCAGCCACGCTGGTGACCACTACAGCAGGAACAGCACAGCCAGCTGCTGCTGCACCTACTGCCACCACCACCAGTGCAGGGTCCACACTCTTTGCTTCCATAGCGCCTGCTCCTGCCTCATCCAGTGCTACAGGGCTCTCCCTCTCAGCTCCAGTGACAACTTCAGCCACTCCTAGTGCTGGGACTCTGGGCTTCAGCCTCAAAGCCCCTGGCGCAGCTCCTGGCCCCTCCACCACCATCTCCAGCACCACCACATCTGCCACGACCACCTCCACCACAACCTCTGGCTTTGCCCTGAGCCTGAAACCCCTAGTGTCAGCTGGTCCCAGCAGTGTGGCCACTACTGGGACTGCTCTGCCTGGCTCCAGCAGTGCAGCAGGGACTACCGCCGGTCCCGCGATGACCTATGCGCAGCTGGAAAGCCTGATCAACAAGTGGAGCCTAGAGCTGGAGGATCAGGAGCGGCACTTCCTGCAGCAGGCCACACAGGTCAACGCCTGGGATCGCACACTGATTGAGAACGGGGAGAAGATCACCAGTCTACATCGGGAAGTGGAAAAGGTGAAGCTGGATCAGAAGCGGCTGGATCAGGAGCTAGACTTCATCCTTTCGCAGCAGAAGGAACTGGAGGACCTGCTGAGCCCGTTGGAGGAGTCAGTGAAGGAGCAGAGTGGCACCATCTACCTTCAGCATGCGGACGAGGAGCGGGAGAAGACCTTCAAGCTGGCTGAGAACATCGATGCGCAGCTCAAGCGCATGGCACAGGACCTCAAGGATATCATCGAGCACCTGAACATGGCTGGTGGCCCTGCAGACACCAGCGACCCACTGCAGCAGATTTGCAAGATCCTCAATGCACACATGGACTCCCTACAGTGGGTGGACCAAAGCTCTGCCCTGCTGCAGAGGAGAGTGGAAGAGGCCAGCCGCGTGTGTGAGGGCCGCCGCAAGGAGCAGGAGCGCAGTCTGCGCATTGCCTTCGACTAGCCCTGCATGAATGGGAGGGGCTCCTTGGGTGGTTGTGCTGTTGAGAGGAAGGTTCTTCGGCTTGACTTGCACGCAGCAGAAGTTGTACAAGGCATGGCACTTGATGTAACCTGTGTGCTCTGGGGCCCAGCATGAATGTCACTGAGCTCTAGGCCAGCATTTAAAGAACAAAGACAAGGGTTCCATTCAGTGCTGCTCACGGCAGCTTCAGTTCTAATCCATCCAATTTAGCCTTCAGTCACTCCAGTATGGCTGTGACTGTGGGACAGAGCTCTTGCTCTGAAGGAGATGCTGGCCAAGAAACTTACTTTGGATGGAGACATGGTGGGTTTGAAAGCCCAAGGTTTCTGCTCCTCTCCAGCTCCCATCTAGCCCATGTCCTCCAGAGCGTCTGCCACACAAAGCAGAGTCACCGAGGCACAGTGAGCTAACAACTGCTTTGCCCTGACTACCTCCTTCACTCCTAGATGGTGAGCTCCTGTGGCAGGAACTGATTACCCTTGAGGCTAGAGTGACAGCAAATTTGCTTCTGGATATTCCAATGTCAAAACTATCTTAGTCACAGTCAGATGCACAGTGTTGAAGGCCAGCAGTCATGTCCTGGTCTGTTTTATTTCCTTGTACCTTGCTGTAGCCTCTGTGATCCCTGATCAAATGTTGCTTTTCTAAATAAAGAAAAATTTGTGAAATCAGACCTGCTGTGGACGTAAGTGGTGAAAGGTCCCAAGACTCAGCAGGGCAGTGCTGGTGGGATGTCGAGTCGTGGGCCATTGGCTTGGAGCCACTGATTGAGCCACATGGGCCCAGTCTTTACCTTCCTTGGAATAGGTGAGGTGCAGGAGAGAGTCCTGTCCACCCATGTGCATGAGTGGACAGTCATCCACTGCGTGCAGGTGTCATTGTGATGTCATCAGTAGTGGAGATCAGGGAACACTGGGAGGCGACATCCAGATGCTGGGCTCATGCCATGCATTTGACAGCTGCTCTTACCGTCTGAAGATTTCAGCATGGAGCCACGAGTTATTTCCTTTGTTTATGTTGGGCTTCAAAGTACAAAAGGGGGGGCACTAGAGGAGGGATCTCAGCTGCTAAGAGCACTGGCTCTTCTTTCAAGGACCCTGGTATGATCTCTAGAACCACATAGTAGCTCACAGCCATCTGCAGCTCCAGTCCCAGGTTATCAGTGGCTTTTGGCTACTGTGTGCAGAGCAAACAGTCATATAATAAAATCTCAAAGAGAGAAAAAAAAACCCTAGCTTTGTGAACACTGGAGTTCCAAGTCATCTTCAGCTACATAGTCACAGGAGACCTCCTTGTCTTGGAAAAGCCACATAGAGGCAGGGCTAGTGAACTGGGGGACACATCCTGAGCGCCCAGTGGCCTTTCTGTAACATGTTAGTTTTTGTTGGTTTAAGGCAGGGTTTCCTCCTTGAGTTGGTGTGACTTTCCTGAGTCCTAGGATTATGGATAAGCCACCACAGCCCAGCTCTGCACTCTGGCCTGACTCTAACCGACCATAGTGTTTAGGCTGCAGTTTCTCAAGATGTTTTACACTCGTGTCGTTGTCAGGGCTCAATAAAGATGTTCAGCATGTATCTCTAATGTGTGTGTGCTCATTCCAGGTTGTATTTGGGACATAAATGAATCTGAGTTATCTTGCCATTTGTGGGGAGGAGCTGCACTCACTCTGCACTCCATCCTTGTACAGCCTTGTGTTTTAAGTTAGTTGAAATCATCCCCTGAAGGTCTACCCACTTTAAAGACAACAGCATAGATCTTCGTACTGGGGGAATTGGGGAGGGGTACCCAGGATGACAACGCTACTGGCAACTTGGGCATGTTGCCCAGGCTACACTATAATTGCAGTTTCCCTCTCCAGGAAGAACACTGCCTCGCTGGCCGCTCTCATCATTCACCATGAAGACGGCAAAGGTGACTGCATGGGGAGCCTCTTCCACATCTCCTTGGGTAGCCAGGACCAGCTGTGATCCAGCCTGGCCGGACTAGCCTGACTCAGGAAGGGACGCAGCAGTGTGAAATGTCAATGAGCAGGAAGTTGTATCTATATCACATTAAGGGATGAAAAAGACAAGGGAGACCAAGTTTGAACTTTCCACTTCTGATCTCTATAAAGAGCTCTGGTCTGTATTGAGCAGCACAGAAAGCATTGTCTGGGAAGGAGTTTTTACAAAAGTCCCTAAGAGTTTTCTAAGAATGACCCAGAACAGCACTTGAAACTGCACACACATGTTGCTTCCAGCATCTGTGAGATGCTTTCAGCCAGTGACTACTGGAAATCAGACACGGCCCCAGGCATGGAAGAGTACATATTGTAGCTAAGCTTGCACCAGCTGCCCAGGTGGGAAGAGTGGGGCTAGAAAGGTGGGTGCTTTGTTATCTTAAGGGCCAGTTAAAGTTGAAGAGGTTGAGGACATGGTTTTGACCTGATGACAAGGTGTGGCAAAAGCAGCTTCTAAAAGACACTTACAGGAAAAAAGTCCCACAGAAGGGGAGAGTTTGAGATAGTTATTAGTAAAATTTAATTATAAATTTAGGTTTTGTTTTGAAATGAGGTATCCAGCCCAGGCTGGCCCCCAGTTCCCAAGGGAGCTGTGGGTCACCTTGAACCTGGGCTCCCCGCCTCCATCTTTGAAGTACTTTCCTCACAGTAGTGCACATCAGGTTTCTGTGGTGCTGGGAAGGCAGCCCAAGGCAACCAGCAGCTGGATCCCCAGCCTGGAACAGGTCATCCATGTAGCCCTAACTGCGGGAACTCAAGATCTGCTTGCCTTTCCCTGGGAATCCTGAGAAGGTCCTATCTTGAAGGACAGGAGTTGGCCACCTGTGTGTGACCTTACCTTCTGTTAGTAAATCTTTTATGGAACACAGCCATAGCCGTACCCTTACACTTTGTAAATGGATAGCTAGGCTGTAAATCTTCAAATTTTCATGGGAAGTTTAACCATATCTGTCATAGAGAAACATTCTGCAAAGACAGTATGCCTGGGACATGATTCAAAATAGTCCTGTGTCAAAGAAGAGGGTGAGCGAGGGCCTGGTGGCATGCCTGTTGGCCCAGAGTTTAGGATGCAGGGCAGGAGGATGGCCTCAAGTTGGAGGGCATCCTAGGGTACAAATGAAGACACCCATCCACCCTGTCAAAAAACAAAAAGGCATTCTCTAGCAAATTCTGCCACAGTCTACCAACTGATCTTCCTCTCAGGACTTGGCTTCTCTGATCTAACAAGGCAGTAGGACAAAGCTACCACCGTTTTCCCTGGTTCTGCCTGCGCCAGAGGATGACTTCCCTTCCAGGTTGACCAGAAAGGCCATGGGCGCCGGGAGAGCCCCCCAAAGACCAGCATGCAGTGAGTGTCCCCTGTCTGGGTTGGGGAGTTAGGGAGGAGGCCACAGCTACTTTGTCCCTGCCCAGTCTTGGGTCTCCCTACGCCCTCCCTCGGGACACTAGACTGAAAGACTGAAGGCTATGCACTTCATGAGGTCCGTCCCCGGATCGGCCTGCTGGAATGTGGCCTAGATCCTCCAGCACTAGTCCTGTGGGTCAGAAGCAAGCCGTGGCAGGCGGGTGTCCCCAAAGACCTTTTCTTCCTGGAAGGCTAGTCCTGAAGCTGCCTTTCCCAAAGCCAGCAGCAGCTGATGCCATGACCAGACGCACACACTAATATCTGGGCTTGTGCCCTTGCTGCAGAACACTGAGCCTCACTTGCGCCTCTTGTTCCCTGATCCCATCCCCACACGCCCTGCCTTCTTCCCAAGACCCCAGCATAACCAGGGAAGGACAGTCTGCCCCAATGGTGGCCTAACCATGATTCCTAATTTAGGCTCAATAATACTGCTTGGAACTAACACTAGGATACTAGGATTTGGGGTGTATATATATTTAGATTGTGACCCAAGCTGGGCTTGAACCCCTGTTGATGGGGGTGGGCTAGGATGGCAAACACGTGTGTGCTCACACACCCTACCTGAACCTATTCTGTCAGTTCCCTTTGCTCCCCAGACTCCCTAGGGGAAGGGGAGTTGCCCCAGTCTACTCTAGCCAGGGATCCAAAAGCTGTTCCCGTGGGACTGGAGAGGTATCCCAGGGGTTAAGAACACTGGCTACTCTTCCAGAGAACCAGGGTTCAATTCCCAGGACCTCCTTAGGGGCTCACAACCATCCATAACTTCAGTTCCAGCTTTAATACCAGGGAGAGCAGTGGCCACAGTGGCCCTGTCAGTCTAGCATTCGGTACACTGAGGCAGAAGGATCATGGGGAATTTGAGGACAGCTTGGATGCAGAATGATGAGACTCTATCTAATAAATGCCAGGCCACGAGGTGGCTGTTCCTGCCCCCAGCACCCTCAGTTCCTCTGTAGGGCTTAGACCAAGTACTGCCCTAAGCCCTGGAGTCCTACTTGACCTGGGCCTCCAGCCTACATGGCTTTGCAGTTCTGGCCGCTTGGCCCAAGCCACAGAGCAAGCACACACCTACACCAACCACCTCCCTTTAGTGGACTCTGGACTTTCTCGTTCTGTCCCTCCCTGACTTCTCCTGATTTCCCTGCACCTGACTGCCTCACACCCCCAGCTTTGGGTGGCACTGGTGTCATCGTCCTCATTGCTCATGGCCTCCTGAAGCTTCTGGGGACATCTCTCTGAGATGTCCATCCACAATCTGCTTCCCAGCCGTTCTTAAGACGAAAATAGCAGGGAAGGACAGGGCCACTCAGTCATCACTACCCAGTCCTCCCCATGTTCAGATGCGGCAAGAGGTTCTGCCCCTGGCCAGGTGACATGTGAAGGCCCTGGCCTGGCTTTACATCTGCCGTACTGTGCTTTACCGTGTGACACTATCAGGCCGAAACGGGCACCAGAATGTGGAAGGCCCTGTCCCAAGATCCCAGGTCCCAGACTTGGATGTGCCCATTTCATAGAATTGGAGATAGGCATGGAAAACTGGGGTAAGGAGGTCTGGCCTGGGATGGGCAGGCCCAAGACAAAAGTCCAGGAGGCCTAGAGCACAGGGACCAGCACCAATGATGCCATCTGGATGGGCAGTCCCCACCCACAACTTCTGCAAAGCTGTTTGTGGTACAAAAAAATAGACTGAGTTACTTCCTCCTGTGGCCCTCTTTACCACCACCACCACCTCCCCCAGCATGTGGCCCCACTCCAGGAAAGCACTTTGAATTCCCCAGGGAGGTGAGTGGGCAGGGCTGGCTGCTTTAAGAGGAGAACTCAGAGGCTCTGTTCTGCTGTCCTGTCCAAGAGTAGGTGGGAGGTGGCAGGGACTGTACCCCAGAACCTAGGACTGGGAGGCAGGAGAAGGGAGCTAGGCCAGGGCTTGAGAAAAGGGTCCCAGGAACTCTTGATGGATCAAGATTAGGTCTGGAGAAACATATGCCCAGACCAGAGAGGAAGAAAAGAGACAGGCTGGGGGGTCCCTAGCCCCCATCACAGTCACCCCACTTCTCCACTGACAGCAGCTGCCACTTGAGCCATGGCTTGGCTGGGTAAGTGAGCAAGAGAGGGGAGAAAGGGGGTGCTGGGACTATGGCTGACTCCTGCTTCTACTGCCTGTGCCCTGACCTCCTTCTGTTGCCAGCCCCACATCATGTGCTTGTGGCCATTCTCCTGGGTCTGGCAGCCTCTCTGAACTGGAAGGCAGCCTCCAGCCTGAATCCCTTCGATAAGTGCATGGAGGACCCTGATTATGAGCAGCTGCTCAAGGTGGTGACCTGGGGCCTCAATCGGACCTTGAGGCCCCAAAGGGTGGCAGTTGTTGGTGCAGGTATAGCCGGACTGACAGCCGCCAAGGTGCTCAGCGATGCGGGACACAAGGTGAGAAGTGCAGCCTACTGTCTGCCTGGAGCCTTTCCTGCTGCTGGTGGAAGGTCCTGGGTAGAGCCCCCATTCCATCTGCAGGGAAGGCATAATTATTATTTTTTTATTTTTTTTTATTTTTGGTTTTTCGAGACAGGGTTTCTCTGTAGCTTTTGGAGCCTGTCCTGGAACTAGCTCTTGTAGACCAGGCTGGCCTCGAACTCAACCATGCCCGCCTCTGCCTCCCAAGTGCTGGGATTAAAGGCGGGCCTAATTCCTCTTAATGTAATTGTCATAGTCAAAATGGGGATCTGTGTTAGGGGAAGCACTAAGAAATTCCCAAGGGCGAGTGTCCCCTTCACCAAAACCCAGGAATGAGAATGGGCCAGCCCCCCAGTCTTGCGTGCAAACCAGGAATCTCCCTACTTCTGCCTTAGGCTGGGAAGTCCCTCCGCAGTCCATCTGGTGGACTTTCTCTCTGTTGTAGCAGCCCCTCCCCTCCACCCTGAAGAAAGGCTCTTCCAGTCTAGGTGTGCCACCCTGGGAGCAAGACAGGCAGGGGCTGCTGTGAGTGCAGCCAGGGGAGCTGAGGTTCCTGCTTGCCCCACCTCGTCTTTAGGTCACGGTCCTGGAGGCAGATAATAGGATTGGGGGCCGCATCCTCACCTTCCGGGATGGGAAGACAGGCTGGATAGGGGAGCTGGGGGCCATGCGAATGCCCAGCTCCCACAGGTGAGATCCCAGCCAGGTAACAGAGCTCCACCTCTGCACCAAAGCTGAGCCAAAGCCCACCTCCATCCCCACCTCATATTCAGCCAACTCCCATCCCTGATTTAGGCTCAGCCAATCCCAGCCCTGTTCTTGCCCTGGGCTCAGTGAGAATCCAGCTCCATCCCTAGTCCATGCTCTTTGTTCTGAAGGTACTGTCTGTCAACCTTGGGCCTCAAGCTGCACCCCCAACTCTGCTCCAGTGTTACCCATGTTCCCTCCCACTCACAGCCCTCACCATCATCCTGGCTAGTCCAGCTTGGCTAGCACTCTCCTCGTGCCGTCACTCACCTTCCCATCTGTGCCGTTCCCACCCCCAGCTCCATGCCTGTCTGTACTGGTCCTCCTCCTTCATGCAGCCTTCCATTCCCAGGATCCTGCACATGCTCTGTAGGAGCCTGGGCCTCAACCTGACCCGGTTCACGCAGTATGATGAGAACACGTGGACCGAGGTGAATGACGTGAGGCTGCGGAACTATGTGGTGGAGAAGATGCCAGAAAAGTTGGGCTACGACCTGAGCCACAGGGAGAGAGGCCGCTCCCCAGAGGACATCTACCAGATGGCACTCAACAAGGTGGCTACCAGCTTCCTGCTGAGCCCAGCCCTGCCCGCGGCTCTGTCTTTACTAGCACCCTGTTAAGGTTTACTCCGCAGCTCTGCTGGCGGCCAGCCCGTGCTTTCTGCATCTCACAGCGCATCCTCTACTGTAGCCCGGCAGCTTTGCTGTAGAGTCTCTCAGGCATCATCCTCTTGTCCCAGAGGATCTTTCCACACAGAAGCTAGCCCTGCCCACAGCTTGATAGGGCTCCCCAGTGCTTCTTAAGCCCACGGGCCAGACCTACCAGATAGCTTCCCCTCCCCCACACCCACCTAGTGATCTAGGCATACGCTCTGCTTCTGGAACACCACCTGGCTCATCCATTATCCCTAAGTCTGCATCCTCAATGTATCTGCCTGAGCATCCTTCTCCTGACCCCGAACAAGGAGCGCAGAGTAGAGAGGCTGGAGGCCATGTTTGTAAGGAGCCTGAAGGAAGATAACTAATTGCCAGGCAGGAGAGTCTACATGCGGTGGGAGAGGTGGCACAGCTCCAAAGTGGTTCTGCCCTCCACACTTTAAAATCAGTACTACCTGCGGCGAGAAAGGGTGATGGAAGCTGCTGGGCCTTGGGGGCCAGGCTGCTGCTGTTGCTGGGAGTGCTCTAGCACTCCTCTGGGTCTGGGGAGCCAAGGAGAGTTGTTTCCAAGGGGAAACTGCTAAAGACTTAGCTGGTAGCAGCACCCCATTGGGCTATGGGAGACCCTCACCTGCCTACGCCCACAATGGTCTAGACACAATTACTGAACTTCCTGGCCGGCACAAAAAACAAAAGGCAATGCTGACTGGGTGGGCAGATGAGGGCTATCCAGTATTTGGGAGGACTTCCAGCTACAGAGGAGGCTTATGCAGTATGAGCCAAAGTCTGGGACTTGAACAGGGGTAAGTGGCTGTTCCCACTGCAGCCAGGGCCCCTCTGATTGTCCCCCACAGGCCCTCAAGGACCTCAAGGCCTTGGGCTGCAAGAAAGCCATGAAGAAGTTCAATAGGCACACGCTGCTGGTAAGTGGAGGCTGTTCACCTGTCCTGTCACAAGAGATGGCTGAGGTCCAGGGCTTAGCAGGGAAGGGTCTGACCAGGGCTCCTGCCAACTGCACAGGAATACCTCCTTGGGGAGGGCAACTTGACCCGGCCGGCCGTGCAGCTCCTGGGAGACGTGATGTCCAAGGAGGGCTTCTTCTACCTCAGCTTTGCAGAGGCTTTACGTGCCCACAGCTGCCTGAGCGACCGACTTCGGTGAGGGCACAGTGGATGGGACAAGTCACAGGGAGGAGCGTCCTGGGAGAGGCAGGGCCTTAAGAGCTAAGCTTCAACCTGGGTCAATGTGATTGCCCTACCCTGCAGGTACAGCCGCATCGTGGGTGGCTGGGACCTGCTGCCACGTGCGCTGCTGAGCTCATTGTCCGGGCCGGTGCTGCTGAATGCGCCCGTGGTGGCGATCACTCAGGGGGCGCACGATGTGCTCGTGCACATCGCCACTTCGGTACAGTCTCGTAGCCTGAAGGTGCTGATGGCCGACCTGGTTCTGCTGACGGCCAGTGGGCCTGCGCTGCAGCGCATCACCTTCACGCCACCACTGACGCGGAGGAGGCAGGAGGCACTGCGCGCGCTGCACTACGTGGCAGCCAGCAAGGTTTTCCTGAGTTTCCGCCGGCCCTTCTGGCACGAGGAGCACATCGAGGGCGGCCACTCCAACACTGATCACCCATCGCGCCTTATATTCTATCCGGCGCCGGGCGAGGGTTCTCTACTACTGGCCTCGTACACGTGGTCGGATGCTGCAGCCCCTTTCGCCGGCCTGAGCACAGAACAGGCCATGCGCCTGGCGCTCAAGGACGTGGCAGCCCTGCATGGGCCAGTCGTGTACCGCCTGTGGGACGGCACAGGCGTAGTCAAACGCTGGGCAGAGGACCCGCACAGCCAGGGTGGCTTTGTGGTGCAGCCGCCATTGTTTGGGCAGGGGGACGAGGACTATGACTGGTCATTCCCCTATGGCCGCATTTACTTCGCGGGTGAGCACACAGCCCTTCCACATGGCTGGGTAGAGACTGCTGTCAAGTCCGCATTGCGGGCAGCGGTGAAGATCAATAACCATGTGTTGAGGGTGCCCAGCCCCCAGAAGCAGGAGCATGCCAGTCTCCAGAAGCAGGAGCACACACACGCAGAAGCCAGAGAGGATCAGGATCAAGAGGTCAGCCCAGGTGAGCAGCAGCAGGAGGAAACCCTAGAGGGGCAGCAGTCCCAACACGAAGAGACCAGCCCGGTGAGACACGTGTTTGTGGAGGCCATCCCTGAGTTGCGGGGACATGTGTTCGTAGAGACCATTCCCCAGGGGAAGGGGCATACACACACACACAAGAATATCATGCCTTCGCACATGCATGGGCATGTCATCCCTGAAGAGCACATACACGGGGGACACAAACACGTGGGATCTGGTCCCCAGCGGCACCGGCATCTGCACAGAGGGGCAGGTCACACTCCGTGCAAAGGGGGAAGAAGCACCCAGTCCCCAACCCAGTCTAATCTAGAGCAGGCCATCTACAATAATAGCCCACAATAAAATTATTTTTTTGTTAAACCCAGAGGCCCAGCTCCCTCCCTCCCTTTCCACTGCTCTGGTTTCCTGAATGTAGCTGCCCTGGGCGGGTGACACTTGGGTGAACACTGCACTGTGGAGATCATAAGCTACAGGAGGATAAGGGGCTGATGGAAGAACAGAAAACTCGATAGCCTTGAGGCCAGGCTATGAGCGAGATCTGAAAAACAAGGCTTACTGGTCTCCAGCACACAGTCAATGGTTTATTGCCTCACATCGGCCGCTGGTGAGCGGGTTCAGGGAATCCTCAACTCCACTGGCCGGCTTAAGGTCTCCTGCTCCAGGTCTCCTTTCCACATGGGCTTCAGGACTGGCAATCTCCGAGAACCCAGTCAGGTGCGGGCTAGGAGTCGGCGCCATCGTCGTCCTCAGGCAAGATCTCCAGGCTGCTGTCAGGCTGCGGGACATCCTCACGCGGAGGCAGGGGTGGCGGGGCCCGAGTAGGCAACAGTGGCAACGGGGATACGGGAGGAGATGGGCTACTAGGCTCTTCAGGCTTCGCCAACCCCAGGACTTCCTGCACATTGTGTGGCAGTTCCTGGGGGGAAGGGGAAAAGCATCCAAAAGGCTAGGTGATGGGTGGGGGTGGAGTCAAAAGGGGGGGGATGGGGAGGGCCTGGCGGGAAGAGCCATGGGGGTTTATTCCCTATAAAGAGCAAAGGACTCACTGGGCAGGCAGTCAGCTGCCTGTACAGGGCCTCTGCCCGGGTCAGCACGTCCTCGACGCTTAGCTTCATGGTCAGTTCATTGATGTGCTGCAGGAAGGGCAGGGTAAGGCGCATGCCCGCCTTCCTTCTGGGGTTGGAGGGAAGCAGACTTGCCCCAGGGGTACAGGGCCCAGCTAGAAGAGGCCTTCAGGATTCCCTGGCCTGCCACAAGGTAACACAGCATCCCCTGCTAGCACACCTGGACACTGGAGCACACTAGGAAGGACCCTCACTGGGGACAAGAGTTCCAACCCCACCCAGACAACAAGGTCAACAGGACACACTGCGGGTGGACTCGCCCACATCAAGGGAAGTGCCCTCACTTCACCTTAAGGATCTCGTTGGAGCCAAAGCCAGACAGCATCAGGGTGTCCCGCTCCATGTCTAAGATGGCACAGGCCACCAGCAGGTGCAGATTGGGGCCAGGAAGCCCAGTCCACAGGACCTGGGGTATCAGAAGGAACCCTGAAGCCTGACTCTGACCTGCCCATCCCCCTTGACCTCCCCACCCTTCCACCAGCATCTCACCCCAGCTGGCTGCCCACCTCCCACAGCCGAAGGACATCAGGGAAGGGAAATTCCCTCTTGAACCAGATGAGCAGCCACCGGAAGCAGAAGCACAGCGAGCCCGAGTCCTGGGAATCTAGAGGACAGCGGGCAGTTAGCCTTGCTGGCAGCTGGTGGCCAAGCCCTAGTCTAGATCACATGGACTCAGCAGCTGGGATAGGCAGACGACAGGCATGGTTGCACACACATGCTGCATAGGACGCTCCCACCACTCCCTCCCTTTAGAGTAAGACCATACTAAACCAAGGGAAGCACCCCGAGAATGTCAGTGGGTGTAGTAACCTGAGGACAGCATGAGTGTTACCATGGACACAGCCCCCCCAAACCAGCGTAATTGAGGACCTTGTCTAGACAATTAGTGGGCAGAATATCTAACAGGTAAGTGAAATCTGTCTCAGGCTGTCTTGCAAGTGTGGCAGACAGAACGCCACACACCCAGAAGAACTGTGCTTCCAGGGGACTTTCTGACAGGAGCAACTGTTTCCCTAGGCATAGAAAGTGACCTCCCAGCCAGCACGGTTCCAGGTTCCTCAAGGACACACTCAGGGTCTCAGTAGCTCAGGCTTAAACTCACTATGTGGCTTCAGATCCTCCTGCTTCTACCCCATCATGCTGAGATTACGGGTGCCGCACTTGCCCAGTTTTCCAGAGCTTCACGCACGTTAGCTGGGAATCCCAACAACTGAACCCTGGCTTCTTCAGCATTTCTCATTTTAAACAAGCAACAAGGAACTCCCAGCTAGAATGCAGCGGTTCTAGCTGATGGTCCAAAGAAACCTCACCTAGCCTATGGTGGGCAGGCTTCCCCATCCCCCTAGGCTTTGATGCCAGGTTACTTGGGACGTTTTTCTCATTCAGATGGTCGCACATAGGACCTACCGAGGAAATCACACAGTGGCTGATCCAGCACCCGCAGAAGCAGCAAGAGCTGCCCGAGCTGCCGCTTCATAGTCTCCTGGCTCTCCTCAAAGTTGCCATGCTGCAGGAAGCAGGAGGAAGTGTGAGAGCAGAATACTGACTGGACACCTCGGTGGCTGTCCCCACACCCCTCTCCCATCCTGTGCCTCACCACAAGTTCCATGAAGCCACAGAAACACCAGAAGGCATCCACTTCGTTCTGAACAACGAAGAGGATTGGGGACAGGAGGTCACTCATGCCCTGAACATAGCCTGGGGGAACACAGGGTCAGCTGCATCACCTTGAGCACCTAAGACACCCAGCCTTCACCCCATCAGTGCAGCGCTCACCCAAGTCGAAGTGGTACATGCAGTAGGTTAGGAGGATGTCATTGAGCAGGCCCAGCCCTGGGTTCTCAGGGCCTTCGTAGAACTTGTTAGTCCTGTCGGTGCGGCTTACATCTCTCTCTGTAGGGGCCCAACATGGTAGGAGCACGAGAAAGGTTAGCTGGCCTTCCTAGCTGGTCACAGGCACCAGCCCTACTCTCCTGCATGCTGACAGCCCTCAGCTTCAGGCTCATGCTACAGGAAGGGTGGGAGTTCCCCAGAACCTCTCATTGTCACCCCCAATGTGAGACTCTGGGGAAATAGAGGCACAGGGGGTAAAGTCACACAATCTCCCAGTGAGAGCCGACAAGGCCCCAAGACCTCTTTCCGTGTCCTGCCTCCTCCACTGCAGATCACCCCCATGGCCACAACATCCACCCAACTGCTCCCAGTCTGCTCCACAATCCCCCGGCCACCCACCAATGAGACTACGGTATCCATGCAGCAGCGAGTTCCTCCGCTCCTGTTCAGCACTCACGGACTTCCACTGCAACTTCATTCGGAAGTACTCATCCCTGAGGACAGAGGTCACGGAAGCTATGATCCCCGCTAGCACAGCACCCAGGGAACACCTGGGGAAGCACCGGTGTTCCATCGCTCCCCAGCCCTGCCCTGCTCACACAGGCCCCTGGTCCTGCCGCCCCATGGGCTTCTGGTAGTATCTGTCACCACTGCCTCTGCTGGGAAGCATGTCCAGGCACTGAAGCACCCTCAGGTGCTCACAAGGGGTTAGACGCCCACAGGAAGGAGCTGTGGGAGCTACAACAGTTCAGCAACAGACTGCAAGGGACTCCCATCAGGGGGATGAGGCTATTCACTGCATATAGTGGCTTCGAACCAGAATCTGTGGAAGCCCCAGTATGGTGCACAGCAGGGGCTATGCTGGCTCCAGGACACCCTAACCTGGAAGACTAGGGGGGCCAAGCCCGAGCCTGAGGGCAGATGTCTAAAGGATGTGGGGGCTGCACGTTCCCACTCACGTTTTCTTCCGCACGTGGGCTTTGTGTTCTTCAGCTGAACCCTCCCAGCTAAGGTACCCCAGGAGGAACTTCCATGCCTCCCGCCGCAGGCCAGGGCTGAGACCCTGGGGATGCGATGGAGCACACAGGTCAGGGGCTTCCTCCTGGCCAGCTGCCAGCCCACCTTAGTCTACATCCACCGAGACTCACCCCTGAGAAGATCCGATTTTTCAGTTCAGGGATATTCTGCAGGCGACCATCAGGACCCACATGGCGGGCCCATTCTTCCTCTGTGACTGGAGGAGCCCGCTCCACTGTGGGACGCCGCCCTAGCTCCACCTGCAGAACACAGGGGCAGGTGAGCTCCGAGCCCTCCTGGGCTGGAGGAACCCTAAAGACCAGGGGTCAGCAGGAAGCTTCCAGAAAAGAAGGCACCTGAGAACAGCAGCAGCCACAGGCAGCCCTGAGACAGAAGGATCACACAGCACAACGCCAGGGTGGAAAACTGAGACATCTAGCCTCAAAAACCAGAAATGGTTGGGGAACTGGTTCAGCAGGGGAGCACTGCTCGAGATCACCAGTGAGGGTCTGGGGTGGGAATCAGTGGCAGAGAACCTGCCTAGCATGCAAGAGAGCCCCTGGGCTGGATGGATCCTCGGCACAAGAAAGACATCCACCAATGCACCAGGCAGCTGGCCAGTACACAAGACTCCTGTGAAGTCACTGCTCACACAGCTCCAGAGACCGGTTTCACGTAACCGAGGTGCTGTGGGATCTTGAACTAGGCAGAGGTGTGTGACACACAAAGAACAGTAACTGTACGATAACTGTATGATGCTGTTATTTTTGTTTCGCTGCCTCTGTTTTAACGATGCTAAGAATGTGTGTTTATTATGTAAAGATGTGTTGCATTTATTTCACCTCGCCTGCCTAAGGCACCTGACTGGTCTATAGAGCTGAATGGCCACTAGCTAGGCAGAGAAAGGGTAGGCAGGGCTGCCAAGCAAGAGAATGAATAGGAGGAAATCTGGGCTCAGGAAAGAATAAGAAGAGGAGAGAATGAGTGATACACCTGCGACCAGAAGCCGGGTGGATGCCAGCCAGCCAGAGAAGCAGTGAAAGTAAGATACAGAGCCGTAAGAAGGGTAATAAGCCCACAAAAGATAGATAAAAAGAAGCAGGTTTAAAACAAAACAAAAACAAAAAAACAAAAGGCAGAAACAGGGTCCTTGAGACTTACGCAGGAGATGACCTCGAAGCCAGGCTCTGGCTCATCATCTGGCAGCAGAGGCAGGTCAGGGGAGGAGGCGCCCTCAGGGTGCGGCTGCAGGGCTCCCCGGAAGAAGTTGGTCACTCGAGAGAAGCTACTGAAGGTGGTAGAGTAGGGGTCTTGGAGGAAGCGCTGGGGAAAGGTGACAGGTGTTAGCGCTGCCGCTCCGGGTCTCCCCATCACACCCACGGTGCCCTGTGTCCGTCCGTCTCAGCACCCACAGACACCACATTGGAGCTGCCCCCCGGGGTCTCCCCATCACACCCACGGTGCCCTGCATCTGTCTCAGCACTCACAGACACCACATTGGAGCTGTCCTGGTCGAAGAGCTGCAGGTGATGGAAGGAGCTGGAGAGGGCGGAGGAGTCGTGGGGGAAGACCAAGTAGAGGCGGGGGTCCTGCGGAGAGCTGGGAGAGCAGGGACACACAGGAGGCCACAGGCCCTGTGGCACCTGGCCATGCTTCTCTAGGTCTGTAGCCCTCTTCCCATCACAAAATGGCACTGCAAGGAAAGTCTCCAGACCAGAGCTGGGCCTATTGCACTTCGGGGCCCACATGACTGACTCAGGAAGAAGCCAAAGAGCAGCTTTGTTGGGGATGGGGGAGATACTCTCTATGCAACAGAGACTACTACTGCAGGCCACCAAATGGGCCGTTTCTTCCCTCCCCGACCTCACGCAGCCCACACTGCCTTCAACTGTCCACCCTGCTGGCACACAGCCTTCCAAACACTGGGATGGCAGGCATATGTGCCTGCATCTTTTCAGGGCCTTTCTATTAAACTGCTTTGCTCATTTCCCGGAACTGCAGGCTGCAGAAAGACATGCTGCCTCACGGATCCAACGCTGGCAGAGGCTTACCTGGCCAAGAGCAGATAGCGGCTGAGGACCCGGAGCAAGGCTCGGGTACCCCCTCTGTGGAAGTGCAAGGCAGGCAGGGAGCCTCCAGCCTGGGTCACCAGGACCAAGTAGGCCCAGCTGAGGCCTGGCTTGGACCTACGGATGGACTTGAGCTCCCCCAGGCTCACGGAGAAGGCCCAGGAGCTCCGGGGACAGCTGGGCTCTGCACCTAGGGGAAGCAATGCATTGCTGGTGTGGTATCAACAGCAGGACAGGCCAAGTCAGCGTGTTCTCTGCACAGCAGTCTTCTGAAGTCTCGGTGGAAGCTGCCCTCTACCTCTGAGAACTCTGGCACTTCCTTAGAAGTAAACTGCCTAAGATCAAAAAGCACCCCAGTGGATATGTCTGTCCCAGAATATCCTAGAACCTCCCCAGGCTTCCCTCGGTCTTCAGTTTGAGAACTACCTTCCTCTGTCCCTAGTCTTCTGGCTGTCTTACCTCTCTAACGCTCTCTTTGCTCCATACCCTACTTGAGCCACAACAAAAGGTTTGGGAGGCTGAGTGTGGTGACAACAAGTCTCCAAAAAAAAAAAAAAAAAAAAAGAAGAAAAGAAGAAGAAGAAGAAATAATTACCCTATGATTAGTTGCCTATCAGCTTTTCCATAACCCACAAGCCTAGAAACTTTTAGGAGAATTCATGGGTACACCTAGAACCAAGCCATTCTTTCGCAGGCCAGAGAGGAAGCATCTGGAAGCCACCCTGACTGTGGGTGAAAAGCCTTTGGAACCATGATCCAGCAGGTCACTGCGGCATAGCTCCACCTACCTCTCCTGGATTCTGCCAGGTGTGGCCGTGGCCGCACTGTGCTGATGACAGCCCAGTCAGGTTCATAGCCGGGGTCAAAGGTGGGCTCCTCCTCTGAGGCACTGGGCTCCCCTCCACTTGGGTCCTTGAGAGAAAGATAGGGAATAGAGAGCTGGAAGCCCCAGAGACAGCAGCCCTTTAGAACAAGGGCGCAAACAGGCAGGAGGGGCAGAAAGCTTGCTTGGTGGCTTGGTGGCAGAGGAAGAGTCAGGCTAGAACCCTAGATTCATGGCTACACCTGAGGCCATAGCACCAACAGTCCAGATTTCATTGACAAGGACAGGGGCCTGCTCTGCACTCTGGCCAAGACGCCTCTCGTGGCTTTTTGACTTTTCACTGTAAGTGAATGAAGAGCCTTAAGTGACGGCCACTGTCGCTGTGACTAACTGTGAGTCTACAGGGGACACTGCTATGACAGTTCCGTGATGGACAGAAAGGGGATACTGTAGAGCAGCACCAGCCAGGTGGCTTGGCATGTGAGATGGAGGACCTGAGTCCAGGCCGCAGAGCCCACAAGGAAGAAGGATGACTCCTCCGAGTAGTACATACATGAGTAAGGAAACAAAGCCCAAAGAGTTTGGTGTTTCACAGGCTCCTGCGATCACAAAAACCAGTTTCCAGCACGGGTCTGCACTGCCATCTTCTGGCTTCGGCATGCACCCACAGGGAGTGCACACGCATGCCCATACACTCACACCGCACCCACCCACCTCACAAACTCAATCTCTGGGCTACTGAGCTGGTTCAGATTGCTGCGAAACCTGACAACCTGCATCAATCCCTGGGACCCGCGCAGGGGAGGAAGGTTATCCTCCGACTGCCACACCCACGCATGTGAATGCACACCAAATGTTACAAATGTAAAGCTACTAGGTGAAACTAGATCGGAGGGAAAAGACAGCTACCTCACACCAAACTCAGGCCACACCCCTAAAGAAATGGGAACCCAGGCTTTCACCCAACAGGGTTCCCCAAGCAGCCAAGAGGACAGGACATCGGGTCGTTTCACAAAGCAAACAGGATCGCAGGTTCCCGAGTAACCCCTGCCTTCCCCTTGAGTGGCGAAGAGAAGCGGGGCGCCTACCTTCTTGGAGAAGACGATCTGCGTCGGGTCTCCAGCCTCCTCCACCGGAGCCCAGTGCAGGAGGACGTCACTGTCCTGAGGGACGTGGGGAGGACTTAGTAAAGTCGCCCGACTGCCCTCAACCACCAACCCGAAGTTCCCCTGATGCCATCTCCATCCCGTTCACCTTCTCCACCACACGGATGACGCCCGCGATGAGCGAGTCCGGGTCCTGGTGCTTCTTGGCGCTGGTGTGCAGATACACGCCTCCCTTCTCAAATACCACCTAGGGGCGGGCGCGGTGAGGGCCAGGGTCTAGGAAGGAGCCCTCCCAGGGGCGGGGTCCAGAGACAGGCGGCCCAGCCAGGATGGGGCGTGCCGAGCCCACAGCGCAGGGAGGGCGTGCCAGTCCCCGAGGGGAGGGGCTAAGACCGACTCTCCCTGCCGACCCTGGAGATGACAGCGTCTTTACCAAGAATCAGTGCTTACTAAATTAGCTCTGCCTCGTCCCTGCACAGCGGAAGGTGGAAGCAGACCATCGCGGGGGGAAGGGGGTGTCGCCTTAGACCAGCGAGGGAATGAGTCCCGAAGTCTTACCCTGTAGCTGGATCCGTCCATAGCCACCGCGGAGGTTCCACTGCCCCAATCTCCTCCCTTTCCGGGTCAATGAGGTGTCATATCCGGAAAGAACACTCCCTTCCAGGCCAGATAGTGGTAGCGCCCCTGAAGCTGTGGAGCTGCAGTGGGTGAAACCATCTGTCAGAACAGGGTAGCTGAAACGTCAAGGGTCGGGTCACGTGGTGTAGACAACGCTCTTGTTCAGGGTCAACGCGGCGGCGCAGGCGCAGTGTACCACTCTCGCCACGAAGTAAACAAGTGGTCGGACCTGTAATCGCTACCCGACGACTCGTGACCGCCAAGGAACGCCTCCTTGGCTCTCTCCATATTTTATACTGGCGTCGAAGCCAACACTGTGCCATTTTCCTCGAGGGCAAGCCATTGCGGCTCGGTGGAGGCCATGTTAATGCGGGGCACTACCATCTCTTTGCGGGGCGGGACGGCGAGGTGTTGGAAAAGCGGAACAGAGACAGGAAAAGGTGAGAGGAGCTGTGTAGTACCAGAGGCGCGGAGGGGCTCGGGATAAGGGGTCAAGCAATCAGGCTCCTGGAAACGAAGTTGCCCCAAATTTCTGAGTCACCGTGGAAAGAGGGCTGCGCCACCATTTTTAAAATGGGCAACCCGAAGCTAGAAATGCTGCCATATCGAATCTTTGCCAGCTTTGTGCTGAAGAGCAGGGGTGGGAGGAAGCGGTAGGCTGGACGGAGGGAAGAGTCCATACGCACTATTGGCATATGAAGCCATACTGACTAGCACGACGGAACGGGAGCCTTTTTTCCTCCACTTCTGTGTTAGGAGTTGATTACGGACCGAGGGACGTCAGGCCGCTTGCCTTCGCTATTGTCCTGTGTGAGCGTGGGCATGCAGCCGTATTTGTTGCGGGCAGATCGAAATGATGTAGCTGAAGTCTTTTACAGCCTTTCCCATGGGCACTCTGCCGCTGTCATTGCTCACTGCTTGCAGAGGAAGCTTCTGGTTGCTATTTTGATTCGGGGCATCTAGGATAAGGGAGGCGGAGTGTACGCAATGGAGGAGGGGCAGCTACACGGAAGTGATGCAAGAAGCCGCCATGCCTTTTGAGGGCTGCGACGGCGCCTGGCCGGCCATGCTGGCTACGGGCACGTGAGTGGAGGCGGCGTTGTGAGCTGGGGTTTGGGGAGGATCTGGCTTTCCTTAGGTTGAGGGGCCATGGGAAGGCGTGCGGCCATGGGAAGGGTACAGTGTGCGTAGGTCAGGGGGCAGTGATCTCCTTGTGACCCTTGGCTGAGTGCTGAAATGGCTAACGCTCAATCCCTCGTGTCTGACTCGCGACGAAAGCTAGACAGGCTTCATCTCGGTGTTGCAAACGGGCTGGGACTCTCACATTGGAGGCGAACCAAGTCCTTGCGGTTGTGTTTTGGGGGGGTCCGCTGGTGGGTGAGGGGGGGTGTCCATGGGCGGGACTTCCGGTCAGATCCCCGCCGGGGGCGGGACTTCTTGTTTTCTTCCTAGAGTAGGGGCCTCGCTGGTCCGCGGGCGTGGTTCAGCCCCGGGCCTCAGCCTTCGATAGTAGGATCCCCCTGGGACGCCCCGCTCTGCGTCCCGTGCTGCAGCCGTTTCCTTCCCTATCTCCCGTCACACCTGTCCTGGGAGGCCTGCACTTTCCCGCTGGATAGCTCCCCCTTGCTGGTCTGCCCCTGCCTCTCACCTCATAGGAGATCACAGGCCTAGGAGGTCCGAGTAAGTCGCCCTCCTTTGAGCCGCCTTCAGAAGCCACTCAGCCTGTTTTCACACTGCTGCTGCTAGGAGCTGGGTCCCGCCATCATTTGCTCTCTCAGGTTGTGCCATCTTTTGGACCAGTCACTTTTCTCGCCCTGAGCCTTAGCCTTATGTTTCCAGCCTCCTTTCTCAGCTTTCTCAGCTAGGAAGGGTGTGAGGGGTGAGTAGGAGTCGCTGGGTGGCTCCTGAAGCTTTGGTGGGACTTTGAAGTCCAAAGACAGTGTTGGCAAACCACTACAGCTCATTTCTGTGGCTGTGGCAGGTGTCTGCAGCTTTCTCCTCAATGGAAAGTTGGGATGGGCAGTCTAGTGTCTTGCAGCAGGCAGGGTAGCGCTCAGCATTGACAAAGGGCTCTAGACAGACTGTCCTTGTCGGTGGCCAGTTCAGCTGGTGGGACGGTCAAGATCTGGTCTCCTGAGTTTGGAGCTTAAGTCCTGAACGTGCAGTGACCACCGCTCTTCATGCCATAGGAAGTGAGAGGTTGCTTAGGAATGGTTATCGCATTCTGGTCCAGCGTGTGAGCAGTTCCCACCTTGGGGAGTTGGGTGGAAGGTGGCAGGGTGGAGTCTTTTGAGTGTGCAGGACAACTTGCAAGCTGCAACTGGATTCCAGATTCTGCTTCTCTTTACTGTGGTCCTGATGTGCTTGAATCCCTCTGGGGGGGAGGGGGGAGGTGCGTGCTGCCTGTCAAGCAGAGGCTTCGGCTGCCACACCCCCTGGTGTGTGGAAAGAGGCACCAGTCCGTGGTCCCACTACAGGAGCCAGGAGATAGGCAGCGGTGCAGCTGTCAGCGGAGGCTGAGGACCTGGAAAAACCCTGAGCAGCTTGCACCCTCCTTCCCCCACATTCAGCCAGAGCTCAGCCCTGTCCTAAGAGAGTGGCCCTGGAAGCCCAGCAGGGGGACTGGGGTGACTCAGAAAGGGACTGTCTCCCTCCCCAGCTGAGTGTAAGGTTGGCAGTGACCTGAGGCCAGTGAGCTGAGTGTGCGGTCCATCTGGTCCTGGAAACTCTGAAGGGCAGAACTCCACAGCAGTGAAGGAGGACCTGCTGGACCAAATGAAGGATGGAGGCCTGGCAGGGGCCGGGGTGCTTTGCTGCAGAAACTGTGCAAGTCACCTGTGGTTTTCCTGGAGCCCGGTCTCTGTGACAGTTTTGCTCCAGCCTCTGAGTGCTGTGATTTCAGGTGTATACCCCCATGCCTGGCTCACAAGTGTGTTAACACCCTACACACTGAGGACAAGGTATGCATGAAATCCTTGTAAGTCTTCAAGGACACAGGCTGGGTGTGTGTGCTGCACACCTCAAATCCCAGCTACTCCGGTAGTGGAGGAAGGATAGTCGCTAGGGCTGCGTGTTGGTCCTAGCTTACAAACCAGACAGGCCTTGATGTGGCTGAGTTGGTTCTTGCCAGCACTCAGGAAGTCTTGGGTTCAGTTCCCAGCCCCTCATAAACCAGGTGTGGTGGTGTGCATGTGTAACCCCAGCACTCATGAGCTGGACACATAGGGGTCAAGACTTAAAGGTTATCTGTAGCCATATAGTGACAGGAGTACTTGAGACCCTGTCACAAAAAATAGGAAGACCCCAGGCTGAAATAACCGCAGACCAATTTGGCTACAGCGCTCATGGCCAAGCAGGTGAAGACTTCAGACTTTGGAGTGGCCCCTGTGTGGAGCTGGAAATGATGGTGGCTAGTACGGGTCCTGGGGGAAGCAGGTCTGGGAAAGGGGTGGAGCTCAGCTGAGAGGTGCATGCCATGGAAGGGGAGTCGCATTGGGGCACTCGGCCCTCAGGATGGGTAGTGATGGCACAGCCTCAGTCCCTCTGTCCTGCTCTGGCCCACAGGGCGCGGATGGCGTCTGGGCGGCCAGAGGAACTGTGGGAGGCTGTTGTGGGGGCCGCCGAGCGCTTCCGGGCCCGCACTGGCACAGAGCTGGTGTTGCTGACTGCAGCACCACCACCGCCACCCCGCCCAGGGCCCTGTGCCTATGCAGCCCATGGCCGCGGGGCCCTGGCAGAGGCTGCACGCCGCTGCCTCCACGACATCGCTCAGGCACACAGGGCTGCCACCGCCACCCGACCTGGTCCCCCACCAGCACCACAGCCGCCCAGCCCTGCTCCTAGCCCTCCGCCTCGGCCAGCCCTGGCCAGGGAGGATGATGAGGAAGATGAGGATGAGCCCACTGAGACAGAGACTTCTGGGGAGCGGCTGGGCGGTAGCGATAATGGAGGTGAGCTGGGGGGCGGGGGTTGGTGCTGGGCTGGGGTTGCTGGTTTCTGGACACTTGTCCTAATGCATCCTTAGGAAGGCATTAAAGCATTCCCTGGCAGCCTCACACAAGATCCAGCAGCACACAACACAGTATGTTGAGCAAACATTGTTTCCTTGACTGCTTCTGGTCTGGCTAAGGTTCTCTAAGAAATGCAGTTATCTCTGGAAAGAAAGGGGAGGTAGAGCAGTTTGCTGGGAATGGTGTACTGCCACAGCTGAGGGAGCCAGACCAGGGTTCCGGGCACTCGGTAGCATTTCCAGTTCTCACGGAATCCCACTCTGGGTGGCTGGGTCTAGAGGCTGCTGCTGGGGAAGAGTCAGAAAGTTGGGTGTTTCTCCGAGCACAGGACTCTGAGCGTGAGAGGAATTCTCATTTGCCATCTTTGCCCACGGCTGGTCACCTCATCCTGTCCTGAAGGACAGAGACTCGAGTCAGGCGTTCTAACATCAGATCTCTGAGACTATAGGCAAGTGGTCTGGCCACAGCGTCTTCCATTTGTCCCCACCAGACCAGCTTTTTTTTTGGAACTATTTTGGGTGACATTGTCTCAAGCAGATCTTAAGAGGTTCCATGTTGAAGCTAGCAGTGGCTGAGTGAGCAGACAAGCGGATGAAGAGTGTTGAGGCCCAGGGACCAATTGCAGGGCCTGTTGTACCCACAGGACTCTTCATGATGGATGAGGACGCCACTCTCCAAGACCTGCCCCCCTTCTGCGAGTCAGACCCGGAGAGCACAGATGGTGAGGATCCTGGGTTGTTCAAGCCCTAGGAGGCCAGGCCGAGGGTAGGGGTACAGAAGCTGAAGCCTCCCTGTGTCACAGACGGCAGCCTGAGTGAGGAGACCCCCGCCGGTCCCTCAGCCTGCCCCAAGCCCCCGGCCGCAGCCCTGCCCACCCAGCAATACGCCAAGTCCCTGCCTGTGTCGGTGCCAGTGTGGGCCTTCAAGGAGAAGAGGACAGAGGCGCGATCTTCAGATGAGGAAAACGGCCCGGTGAGGGGGGAACGAGGCCGAGTGGCCTGTAGGGAGCCCCTTGCCTTGGCAAGTGAGGCCTCTCTTCTCCATCCCAGGACACCCTGCAGTTTAGGAGGAAGGCCCCTTGTCTGTTCAGAGTCGTTTTTGAGGGAAGGAGGGTAGATTGTCTCGCAGGATTCCCTTCCCCAACACCATCCTGGATGTGGTTCCTTCAGGCAGCTCTGGCCTGGACCAATCTTCACAGAAAACGCTGGGGGGGCGGGGAGGGGCTGAGAGGAAAGTAAGATGACTTCCCTCAGCTTTGCATGGCCAGGTCCCAGTATGACACCCGGATCCGGGCGGGGACCTGCTGTCCTGGCTGAGAAGCAGCCAGGTATCCTGGCACCTGAACCCCTGCTCCTTGTCAGAGTCAGGAGGGGGGGTGGGGCCCGAACGTTCTGGTTCCTAGTGGGCTGGACAATCCGGGCGGGCAGGAGGACATCACGGAGGCGGCGCCTGTGCACTGAGGTTTCCTCCCTCCACAGCCCTCCTCGCCCGACTTGGACCGGATTGCCGCTAGTATGCGGGCACTGGTGCTGCGGGAGGCCGAAGACACCCAGGTCTTCGGGGACCTGCCGCGGCCGCGACTCAACACCAGCGATTTCCAGAAGCTGAAGCGGAAATACTGAGCGGGCAGCACGCACAGCTGGCTGAGGCCGGCGGAAGGCCACTGTAGCCATTGGTCTATGAGCCATGAGCCTTCTCCGCCCAGCAACAGGACGATTCTTTACGGGATTGGCTCGCTCCTGTTTGGAGCAGGGCTAGTTCTAAAACGCTCAGTGGGTCAACTCTGTCTCTTGCCTAGCAACAGAAGCTTTACCCGCGCATCCTTGGCTCACTGCCTGAGCACGGGAGCCCATCTGCGGGACCAGGCAGGCGATGGCTCCGCCCATGTCCGGAGAGTCGCCCGTAGCCCTTCTTGAACTCCCCACCCGATTGGCCCTGGCCTCCTGGGGGCGTGGCCAAGCCCTCCCGAACCCAGAATTGGCCCGAGGCCTTGAGTTTGTTACACTACTAGGGCTGGGTTTTTTTGTTTGTTTGTTTGTTTGTTTTGGCCCGAATCCTGACACTTGTACCCCAAGGGATGGTCCGGTCCCGCTCTGCGTCTGATGCCCCCATAAGTTTCTCCCCACGACAGCGTGTCCATCAAAGTCTGTCCTATACGCAGGGCGGTACCAGCTTCCTGTGTCCTGTCCCCCCACCCCCCGACCCCAACAGGTGCCTTAAATGGCCCTCTTCCACCCAAGGTAGGGGGCCTCACTCTCCGGCCCTGGCCCTGGGTGCGGGAGAGTGGGGTGGGGGTCGGGAGGGGCGCTCTGAAATTAAAGTTTTACCTCTGGCTAGTGAGTGCGTGGTGTGTGGGTGCATAGGACGCTCGTCCAAAGTGGAACTGGTTTCAGAGCATTCCCAGGAGGTTACGGTGGAAATGTGGCTTTTGGGAACGTGAAGGCGGGAGTGGGTAGAGAGGTGACCGTAGGTAAAACAGGCGGGGGAAATTTGTCACCTTCAAATTAGTCACATGGATTGCCTCCCTTTTCTTGTTTGCCTTTTCCCTTTTGTTGTTTAGTTCCTCCCCCCCAGACCGCGTTTCTTTGTGTGGCCCTACCCCACCACCCCAGCTTTAGTGCATCTGTCCCAGGAGGTAGACGTGATTTATCCATTTTGCAGCAGAGAATTTAGCATCATCGAAGCAAAGGAAGAGTGTGGTGAGGCCATGAGCTTCGAATACTAGGGACAAATGCCCGCTTTGCGCTGTCAGAAGAGTGGAGAACGCCACTTCAATGCACGTCTATCATTCCAGCAACAAGGAGGTGGATTTAGGAGGCATAGAAGTCAGTTAATGTCAGCCTGGATTCCCAGAGACCCTGCCTCAAAGGACAAAACAGTCAGGCATGCTGGTACACACCTTTAATCCCAGCATTGGGGAGGCAGAAGCAGGTGGTATGTTGAGCGAGTTCCAGGATAGCCAGGGCTATACAGAACACCACACACACATACACGACCACCACCACCACCCTACAGCTGAAAAAGGCTAAATTCATTCTTAAGGTGTTTTCTTTCCATGGACCTGTGTCAACCCAACAACACCATAGCCACGACCAAATGCCATATAAAAGGAAAGAAACCGGGGCTGGAGAGATGGCTCAGCGGTTAAGAACATTGCCTGCTCTTCCAAAGGTCCCGAGTTCAATTCCCAGCAGCCACATGGTGGCTCACAGCCATCTGTAATGGGGTCTGGTGCCCTCTTCTAGCCTGCAGGCATAAACAGAGACAGAACATTGTATGCATGATAAATAAATTTTTTTAAAAAAGGAAAGAAACCATCAATGACCAGGCGTGATGATGCTGGTTTATTTTGGTTTTGTTTTCCCTGACAATTTCTCTGTTTTCTGTCCAGGAGCTTGCACTGTAGACCAGGCTGACCCTCAATTCGAAGATCTGCCTGCCTCTGCCTTCCGAATGCTGGGATTAAAAGCATGTGCCACAACCGCCCCCGGCTCTAGTGCTTGCTTTTAATACCAATATTTCGATAGCAGAGGCAGGCAGATCTCTGCAAGTTTGGGGTTAGCTAGGGTGTTGTGGTGGGCTAGTAGCCAAGTCAGATAATTCATCTGGGCTGAAAGATAAGCCCAGATGGACCTGTTGACTGGGGATTTCACTCAGAAGGAGGAGGAGGCAAGGTCATGAGACCTTGAGTGCCTTGCTCTTCTCACAAGAGGATGTAGGCACTTTTGCCCGAATTGCCTGTGGCCTAGGCAGAGGATGCAGGTGAGGAAGAAGTAGGGGAAAGGTGTCATGCCTGCTAGGTGTGGCCCTTGCTCCACTAGCTAGCACCTCCCCCAGTGCAGTAACAACCCTCACCTATGCTCTGTAAACCCAGTAAGCTTATTGCCTCCCCGGAATGATCTTTGGTGGGATCGTATTTCGGTTTATCTTTCAGACTTTTAAGAGGAACATAGGCTTATTTTTTCACCTGGAAAGCAACTTTTCTGAGGTGGGGCGGGGTCTCACGGTAGTCCTGGCTGGCCCAGAGCTTGCTATGTAGACCAGGCCGGCTTCTACCTCTTCAGTGCTGGGATTAGACAATGTGCCACTACGCCCAGAAAGGAATTTTAACAACACGGCTACATTCTGAGCCCCTATCACAAAACAAAACCAAGTTAACTCCCTCGTAGGGACTTAGTGCCCACGGATCCAAATGCCCCTTACCCACGCGGGCTTATAAAGCCGCAGGCGAATCAGGGGCGGCGCATGTGCTGTGGGAGGACTCAGACCTTCTGACTGGTGAGTTTGGGAATGAACTCAGAAGTGACCCCAACAGTAAACTATCCTCACTAGCTACGTATTAGAACCGCTGTGGTAGCCTAGGAAACGTTGAACCCGCCCATAGGCAAGGCGCGGGATTTCCGGGCGACTCTAGTGGGAAGGCAGGACTTCCGGTAGCAGGCCATAACTGGCTGCCGAGCCGTGAGTTTGTTCTCCTTTGCCGCATCCCGGGATGTCACAGCTGGGATGCCGGGGCCGCTTGTGGCTGCAGAGCCCCGCCGGGGGACCACCCCCTATATTTCTGCCGTCGGGTGGCCAAGCCCTGGTCCTAGGTCGGGGACCCCTGACCCAGGTGACGGACCGGAAGTGCTCCCGAAATCAAGGTGGGCGCGGGAGAAGTGAAATTGAGGCGGCGAGAGTTGCAGGGGAGGTTGTGCCGAACCAGGAGCTAGATGGGGCTTTCCGGGAGGGACCGAGCGGGTCCGGGAGACTATCACCGGGCGGAGGAGGATGCTCACAGCAGAGAGACGGTCTCTGGGCAGGGTGTATAGGTCTACTCAACGTGTCTCATGGAACAAGCCGATCCTACAGATAAAAATAGACCTATCCTGTGCCACCCCCGGGTCTCTGACATCCTAGGGACCCTGGCCTCTGTGAGTGTAGACCCCGGTCCTATTGAGGTCCTCGGGCTCACCCGTCATCCAGGCACTTGAGTGGTAGAGACATAAGAATCCGTTTAAGGCCAGCCACCAGTGTGTGGCGAGTTCTAGGCTACTCTGGGCTACTTGAGGCCCTGTGTTGGGGGTGGGAGGAAAGTGCCTCTTCCTCCGAAGTGCAATACGTAGTCTGTAGCTGGCCATGTCCCCATACGTGATGTAAACCCTGACTCCATCCCCTTACCCTCAGTGGAGCTGATTGCAGACCCTGAGACCCGGACAGTGGCAGTGAAACAGGTACCAGTGTCTCAGCAACGGGCAGCAAGGACTTGGGGGAGGGGGAGGGGTGGGTCACAGCTCTTCAGAAGGCTGATCAGCTATTCCCTTTTCCCCCGTGCCAGACTGGATACCTGTAACCTTTCAAAGTTCTGATTGGTAGCACGAAATGAATTGGTGGGAAGAGTAAGGGTTTGTTTGTGAGATAGGGTATTGGCCTTGGTGAGGGGGCGGGTGTTCCCTAAAGGGGTGAAGCCAACTCTAGCTCTCCCTTTCTCTGCTCTGCAGTTGGGCATTAACCCATCAACTGTTGGGATCCAGGAGTTGAAGCCAGGGTTGTCAGCTTCTCTACGCTTGGGGGACACCCTGTATCTAGTCAATGGCCTACACCCCCTAACCCTGCATTGGGAAGAAGTTAGCACATCAGGATCCCAGCCAGATACTCCACCGGGCACTCCCCCTGTGGATTCGGTGGACCTGGAGGATGCTGAGCCTCCGGAAAAGAGGGTGCGGAAATCATCCCCTGGCTGGGAGAGCTTAAAGAAGTTACTGGTGTTCACAGCATCTGGGGTAAAGCCCCGAAGCAAGGTGAGGTCACAGCCGTGTCATTTACTTCAAAGTTTACTTTGTGCAGCCTTGGGATAGTCTTACAAAGTCTCTGAGCCTGCGCTGTTGTGAGCAGAGATTGAGTTGTGTCTGGTGACTGCTACCACTGAGGGGCAGGATACAGAGCAGGCCCTGAAATCAGTGATGACCAGACCTTAGATGTGTTTATGGGCCACTCTGAAATGAGGCTACAGAAAATGGGGGGGGGGGGTCTGGTCCCTGGCTGGGCACGCAGTCAACAGTGAATTTTGTTTTTAAATTTACTCATTTATTTATGTGAACTTGCATGATTTTATGTGTAGCACATGCACACAGGTACAGAGAGCACTGGGTTCCTTGGAGATGGAGTTGGGGATTGTGAGCCACCTGACGTGTGTGCACTAACCATTTAGTCATCTCTCCTGCTCTTCCAACAGAGACCTTTGCTCCTTCTGAGCTGTTAATCCTCCCAGGAGAGTCTCAGGGGAAGGGTGTGGGTGGGACATGGGTCCCCATTAAAGTGGGGAGTAGAGGACACAGGAGCAACATGGTACTGTGCCGTCTTCCCTCCCTCAATCATGCATTTTTTTGACGGTTGCCTGTTCCTAAGGGTGATCCCAGTATCAAAGGGCTGGTGTTGGTCAGCCTGTGAGGAAGGTCAGAGATGACACTACTGCTGTCCCTGTTTTTGGTGACACCAGGTGGCTGCCTTTGACCTAGATGGGACTCTCATCACCACCCGCTCTGGAAAGGTCTTCCCCACCAGCCCCAGTGACTGGAGGTGAGGTGGGACATGGGAAGAGGCTGAGATGGGAACCCAGAGTCCTCTAGACTACAAGTCCTTGCTGCTTCCCACTGACTGCAGGATTCTGTATCCGGAGATTCCAAAGAAGCTCCAGGAGCTGGATACTGAGGGTTACAAGGTACATGGGTGTGGATCTTCTCTAGAAGAGCTACAGGGTGTGGTGCCTTGGGGGGGGGGGGGCGTGTTTGTGTAGTGTTCAGGCTGAGCTGTGGTGAGGGTCTTCAGTGTGTCCTTATCTGTCCCTAGCTGGTAATCTTCACCAACCAAATGGGCATTGGGCGAGGGAAGCTGCCAGCAGAGGTGTTCAAGTCCAAGGTGGAGGCTGTATTGGAGAAGCTGGGGGTCCCATTTCAGGTACTGCCAGAAGAGACACTGAGGGGCTGTGCGGGACTGGGACCCAGAGAGAACATGCTAAGGCATGGAATGGAGGCCTCAGCTGGGGTTATGCTGACAGGAATGTCCTTGGAGATCCCGAGCACTGTGACCTGTAACCTGGCCACCTCCACAGGTGCTGGTGGCAACACATGCAGGGCTAAACCGGAAGCCAGTGAGTGGCATGTGGGACCATCTGCAGGAGCAGGTGAGCATTCCCAGCCCAGCCCTCATGACCTTTGCTCCTTTGCCCTCCCGGGTCCCTGCCATCTGTCAATCCCAGCTTTGGACTTGGGAGACCAGTACTCTTGTCTGCAGAGCCGAGGAACTGAGAAGCTGCAGCTCAGGGGTCAGGGTCTAGCCTCTGAGGTCTAAAGCAGTAGGTGAGCAGAGATGCTCGTGGCTGAGGGGAGAGCCTGGCAGATATCAGGGACATGGGAAGGTGGCTGAGGAGGTGGCCCAAGGGTACAGATCTAGAAAGGCAGACACTGACAACCCGAGTGGGAAGAGCAAGGGAGTCAGGGCTGCTGTGGGTTGTGTGCCCTCTGGAAGCCACTGGGGGAACAGGCGAGACACGCAGCGGCAAAGTTCTTGTGTATGGGGTACAGCCAGTCCCTCTGCTGTTCCATATGGAGGGGCTTCTCACGGCCTCTCTTTGCAGGCCAACGAGGGCATGCCCATTTCCATCAGTGACAGCATCTTCGTGGGAGGTAAGAGGAACAGGCTTTGGGGGTGTGGGGAACCTTGTCTGTGCTCAGTGGTGGACAGGGTCACCCTCCTTACAGATGCAGCAGGGCGCCCGGCCAACTGGGCCCCAGGGAGAAAGAAGAAAGACTTCTCTTGCGCAGACCGCCTGGTAAGCCTGGCGGTATCCGCCTGGTAAGCCTGGCGGTATCCGTGTCCCCCATCCTTCCCCGCACCCACCTCTGCTGCACCTCTGAACCCTTCAGACCCATCTCTCCCCCAGTTCGCCCTCAACATCGGCCTGCGCTTTGCCACTCCAGAGGAGTTCTTCCTTAAGTGGACAGCAGCTGGATTTGAGCTTCCAGCTTTTGACCCGGTGAGACCCCAAGGGAAAAGCGTGAGAGGCTTTTTTTTTTTTTGCTTGGCTCCCAGGCTTACACCCCCTTTTGTTCCCCTGCCAGAGGACAGTCTCCAGCGCCGGGCCCCTCTACATCCCAGAGTCCAGCATCCTCCTCAGCCCCAACCCAGAGGTGGTGGTCACAGTAGGATTCCCTGGGGGTGAGATGCCACAGCCCGACGAATCTCCTGCTCCCCCGGCAATCATTTGGTTCCTAGACTCTAGCTGATGGCCACACTTCCCCACAGCTGGCAAGTCCACCTTCGTCCAGGAACACCTGTTGCCGGCTGGATACGTCCACATAAACAGGGTGAGTGGGGCTGTACCCTCCCTCGGAGCACTGTTCTTGGGGTGGGACTCTCCAGACTGACTGTAACCTGTCCTGGGTCCCATAGGACACGCTGGGGTCATGGCAGCGTTGTGTGAGCTCATGCCAGGCAGCACTGAGGCAGGGGAAGCAAGTTGTGATTGACAACACCAATCCAGATGTCCCAAGTAGGGCCAGGTACTGGAACCCTGGGGTGGGGTGGGGTGGGGATGAGGACTGAGTGCTGGGTGGCAGCGATAGCAGCACTTGCCCCCTCCACAGGTACATCCAGTGTGCCAGAGATGCAGGTGTGCCCTGTCGCTGCTTCAACTTCTGTGCTACGCTGGAGCAGGCTCGCCACAACAACAGGGTGAGCCACACCTCCAAGGCTCTGCCTCTCTTTAAGTCCATGCCCCCTGACCTCTGTGCCTCTCTTTCTGCAGTTCCGCGAGATGACCGACCCCTCGCATGCACCGGTGTCAGACATGGTCATGTTCAGTTACAGGTTCAGGGGCCTGGGGGACTGAAGGGTACAGGAGGTGATGGGGTACAGAGCCTCCCCCCCCCCCACCTAACACCCCTATCCCACAGGAAGCAGTTTGAGCCACCCACACTGGCCGAGGGCTTCCTGGAGATCCTTCAGATCCCATTCCGACTACGGACACATGTGAACCCAGCGCTGCAGCGGCTGTACCACCAATTCTTGGAGGGCTGAGCCCACAATAAACAATGTTGCTACTCTGCTCAAGACCACCTTGCTGGGCATGTGGGAGGCAAACCTGCCATGGCATTCTACACTGAACCTGGGCTTACAAGTGGGCTGTTGTGCACTCAGCACACCTGGCTGAGGAATTGAGCAGCCAGGGCCATTCTGGGGTGCTAGAGTCAGCAACAGGTGTTAGAACCCAGTTGTGGGACACTAGACCTTATGTAAATTTGCTTAAACGTAACAAAGGCAGGCCATCACTGTGGTGACTAGCCTCATAAGCCTACCTTTCCACCTAACGGGACACATCCCCTAAACCGCCAGACTCAGCTCTGCACATGGCTGGATCCATGCTGTGTGACTTCTGGACACACTCATCGTGCACTGAGCATAAAATTAGCAGGGAGGGACAGCGTGTGGGTTAAAAGGCTTTATTAGGGAAACATACAGAGGCAAGGACCATCCTTGGAGACCTCAGGACGCTGTCCTTCAGGTTGCTGGGCAGGTACAGTCCCCAGGAGCCCCTGCTCAGAAGCATCTGACCTGGGAGGCAGTAGGAGGGGGTGGCTTCTACTCGTGAGACTGCACCCCACCCCTAGGCCCTGGCACCCATACCTTGCCAGGGACACACGTCCCAGAAGGCAGTGCCTCATGCAGTGGCTTCCCTAAAGCCAGGGCCACCCTGCTGCTTCCTGGGAAAACAAGTGCTGCTCACCAATCTCCACTGGGCCTCGTCTGGGACTGTGGCCCACCCAGCCTGGGAGTCCACTAGCCACCCATCTGCAGAGAAAGAAGCCAAGGGAGGTTCAGAAGTGGGCACCCGGGGCAGGGCCCACGAGAGCACGCATGGCAGAGCCACCTCACCCCTCGCTGCTGCTGCTCCTGCTCCAGGCTTCGCTGCAGGACCTGCTGCTGGTTGGCGATGACACGCCGGATGCCGTTGACAAAGTTGCTCTGGTCGTGCGGGATGAGGCCGATGAAGATCTTCTTCTCCGAGGAGTACAGGAGCATGAGCACGCGCACCTCGCAGGAGGCCTTATAGGAGAAGTGCACACAGCCCGCCTAACAGCAGGCCCCAAGTCAGGACACTCATCTACACACCCCTCAGCCACACACTGGGATCCCTAAAAGCAGGTCCTAGGGGCCTAAAGCTGCCAGGTATGTGGCCCACCCTGAGTGAGCCCTGTTCCTTTACACTGAGACCCTGGCTATGTTAACAGTGCCAATAACCAAGCCCCCCGCCATGTCCTGAGTACCCCCTGAGTTGCAGCTCAAGGATCCCCTGTTCACAAAGGGAAACCAAAGCCCCAGAGCGGAGGATCTGGCCCGGGAGCTACAGGCCTCCCAATTCTCTGGGAGTTTTAGCCAAGCTGAACAGCATGCAGTGGTGGGGAGGGGGCTGTCACAAGGCAGGCACCTGCTGGCACAGTGTCTATGTAATGACAAGCTGGTGCCTCAGTTCTCCAGTAGAGGGCTGGCGGAGGGAGGGGACAAACATGCAAACCTAGGAGGCCCTGGTGCAGCTGCAGGCCGCAGGCCCTCTACTCACGAAGCCATTGTCCATGACCCGGCACAGACTCTTCAGAGTGTCCATGTCCTTGGTGAAGTGAAACTGTACCAGGCGCGAGTTCCGGAACAGCGGCACCAGGGTGGTCAGCAGCTGCTGCGGGATGAGCTGCATGAAGAGCTTCCGTGGCCACTGGTCCGTCCTCCTGCCACACCAGACAGCAGCTGTCAGACATAAGGTCTCCCCAGAGGCCTGCACCGCCCACTCGCCTGCCCACCCCACCCCACTCACAGGATCTCCCCTTGGTTGACGTAGACGTGGGATGGCAGCCACCTCTTGGACCGGCTATTGGGCTCAGGCCTGGGCTTTGGGGCAAAGCGAGAGGGCACTTCAGGGGAGGGAAGGGAGGTGGGCCAACAGCCCACACTTCAGGGGAGGGAAGAGGGTGGGCCAACAGCCCACACGGCCCAGCAGCTCACCTCCTGCCACTCCATGACACCACTCCATGCCAGGAATTTGTTGTTGACAATCTGAACAGGTCCAGAGTGCACGCCTCCAGGGCCCACGGCCTGTGGGACAGGACACCAGCTGCTGCCAGCAGCTTCAACTCCTAACTTCCCACTCACTAGCTGGCTGCAGCCCTGACCACAGTCCAAGCAGGCCGAGGCCTGGTCCTGCCCTCATCACTGTCAAGATAAGTCTCTACCCCGGGTGGTGTGGAGGCCCACAACTACCTTTAGCAGCTACCAGGTGAACGCCATTTGAAAGCCAGGTGTCAAGACACAGGTCACCCTCCAGAGACTTTGGGCCTCTTGCCAACCCACTCCTGCTTTACAGAGAATTCCACCCCCAGGACCCACCCCCGGGCCATCCCCTGTACCCTTCAAAACCTATAAAATCCCTTCCCCGCCAAGCCCTGTCTCCTCCCAGCTCCCTGGTGCTCCTCCTTCCTGCCTTCATCACCCTCCAGCCAAGTGTAGATGCTGTACCGACTGGGACCAGAGCCAGGCTGCACCCAGCTGGCACACCTGTTTGCGGGTGGTGATGACCTGCCGTATGGCATTGACAAAGCCACTCTGGTCGTAGGGGATGAGGCCCATGAAGATCTTCTTCTTGGATGAGTACAGGAGCATGAGCACGCGCACCTCGCAAGGGGAAATGTGGGGGAAGAGCATGCAGCCCGCCTGTGGGGACAGGGCTGCAGATCAGGGCCTGGCCCTCCAACTCAACGGCTGACCTGCTCGGATAGGCCAGGGCACCAAAACACGGCTCAATCAAGGTTTTCCCAAGAGCAGGTGAGTCACTGATGAGGGGCAGGACACGGGCAGGTAGGCACCAAAGACCTATATGGCAGTGTCCCTCCCTTCTCTACCAGCCCCAGCCTTGCTGCTGGGGTAATAGCAGGTGGCAGGGACTGGAGAGAAGGTACAGCAGTGACACCTGGCTGTTCTTGTTTGGACCAAGGTTTGGTTCCCAGTTCAGTTTTCCACAGTCCCATGGGATCTGATGCCCTCTTCTGGTCTCTGCAGCACCAGGCATACACATGACACACACACCATAAATGATCAAAAACCAATCCCTAAATTTTTAAAGAACAGGCGGCAGGCCAGGCTGCTGTGTCTGTCACTCAAGGAAAGGCACCTCCCATGTTAGGATCCCAGTGTCCCCACCTGTAAGACACAGCAACCGCATACACAGTGGCTGCTACGTAGCTGAAACTATACAACCACAGCTGAGATGCCAGTCCTCCCTCTTCAATGGGAGGACAGCTACCTGTAGGCCACCCCATCCTGTGCCAGGATGGACAAGAACCTCTACCTCATTGGCCAGCCTTCTACACGAATTCTCCAGACCCCGGGCCCAGCTCCAGAATACTATCCCAGAGCTGCTGCTGGCACAAGGTTGCAGCCTCACATGTCCCAAGTCTGTGGGGCCCAGAAAGGGATATGATCCGTGGAAGTGGTCAAGTGGGAGAGGCAAACCAGACTAAGGCAGAGCTGGGGACGAGTCTGGAGTCTAGTCCTCAGCATGCATGGGTTGGTGGCTTCCTTCCATCCTGTCCCACCACCTGTCCAGTCCAGGGACCTCAGACTGGGTCCACAACAGTAGGGACTGGTCACCAGATGGCAAGAACACCGCCAACCACCACCACCACCACCACCACCACCACCACACAGACAGACAGACAGACGCACGCACGCACGCACGCACGCACGCACGCAGCCCTGAGAAGCAAGGCAGCAGCTGGGAACATTTTGCGCACTCTGGCCGGCCCATAAGCTCAAGTACCACCCACCAAGATCCTGGGATGACCACGAAGAGGTACAAGAAGACTCCCATCACAGGGCAGAACTCGGTCCCGCCCCACCGGCCCCCATCCCCACTCACGAAGCCGTTGCCCATGATGCGGCAGAGGCCCTTGAGCGAGTCACAGTCTCTGTTGGTGAAGTGGAACTGGGCCAGCTGAGAGTTTCGGAAGAGGGGGCCCAGTGTGGTCTGTGGATGACAAGGGCACCACTGATCATGTAAGGCAAGCATGGGAAGAGCCTGGGGAGCAAGTTTGGCTCTGGGGGCACAGTCCCACTGGTCTCACCAGCAGCTGCTGTGGGATGAGCTGCATGATCAGCTTCTGGGGCCACTGGTCCGTCTCCCTGCAGTAGGGAGTGCATCAGAAGCCATTCCCTGCATCCTAGGCTGCCCCAGGCTCTGCCCACTCCCACACTCACAGGTTCTCGCCCCGGTTCACGTAGGCCTGGCAGGGCAGGGTGCGCTTCAGCTTGGCTGTGGAGTCCGAGAAGGGTCTACGCTTCTGCAGGCGGGAGGCGGGTGGAAGACTCAGCCCAGCGCCCAAGCCATCCATACCCTCCACTAACCCAGGCATCTGGACCCAGCCAGGCTCACCTCCTGCCACTCCAGCACGCCACTCCAGGCCAGCAGTTTGTTGCTGAGCCGGTGCTCATTCACTGCAAGTCCCCCAAGAGAGAGCCCAGGTGAAGAGGGCCCAATAGGCCCGAGGGCCCCAAAGACTCGAGCACCTTCCTGCAGCAGAGAGGAGAATTCTGAGGTCATTCAAAGCTAGACCATTGCACACTTCCCAGAGGGGACATCCTCAGGTCCAGACTCAGTCTCCAGGTACACACTCCAAGTCCCAATCCCTTCCCCAGCAATCAAAACCTCAAAGCAACCATCTTGGCATTCTCGCCCTTAGACCACTGTCAGAAAGCTATGGGCTGCATCCAGGCCCCAGCTCAGAGCCACCCTAAGACCACTCACTGTCCCCCAAGAGGAGACTCCCACAAAGGACGGCCTTTCCTGAGAACCCCAAGGAGACATAAACCAGACACCAAGTTAAAAGACGATCCTGGAGAAAAATGGGGAGATTCCCAGAGGCTACCTTGCACCAAACATTTGACCTGAATGAATGCTGAACGATGTTGCTAAGCAAAGCCACAGATCCTCCCTTCTCCCACCCCAGGGTGCAAGCTAAACTCTTCAGCTGAAACATTTCCAAAAAAAAAAAAAAAAAAAAAAAACACCAAACAAGCGGGGTCCTGGCCCAGCCTTTGAACAAACAGACCGGTCGTGCCTCCAGGCTGAAGACCCTTCTGATAATCGCGAAGGCATCCGCTGCTCATGTCTAAGCTCATGAGGCCTTTACACCCTGCGTGATGACAAACCAGAACGTGTTCTCCCGGCGTCTTAAGTAGCAGACCAGCCTAGGTCTTCAGTTAACACTGCCGAGGGGCCTTCGTGATGAGCATAGCCCTGCAGCACCAAGCCCTCGGGATTACAGCAAACGGGACTGGGCCGCCTGGCCTGCACGCGTGCTTTGAGATAACACTACAAGTGCTCACGTGTCAGTGTGTGAGCGACCACAGTGGGGCCTAAATGAAATCAGGCAAACATACTTAAGCACGCAAAAGAAATCCCAGACTGTTTAAGTGTGGGGTGGGGGAACCACTGAAATGCTTCTGATTTGTTTTTGCCTGACCCCACGAACACCTGTATGCCCGCAACAGCAGGGAACACACTGGTAGTGAGAGCACAGTTAGGGACTCCATTAAGCGCGACTCTGGATAAGTTCGCGTCCACGCATGTCTGACTTGCTGTGGCAAAGCCAAGCCACATTTGTGGCGAAGGGACGCATCTGAGGACCCCAAGAAGCAGCGTCCAACATTAAGGGAAAGCTTCAGGCCTAAGCTGCTGCGTTACAGCGAGGGGTGTGTCTGCGTTCCGCAGGTGATCCCAGTAGCAAACCCGCCTAGGCTCGGCCGTGGCCAACGTCATCACAGGGTACTGAAGCGGTCAGAGCGAAGCCAGGGAATAGCTCAGAGCTGGCCAAGCATGCGCAGGTGTGGCCACGAGTCAACCATCACAATGGGCAGTTTTGTTTCCCAAGAAAACCTCAATGTTTCTAGAAAGTGCACGCACGTTATATTGTGGGCAGAGGCGACAGCCACACGAACCTACACAGCTGAATGTTTACCTTAAGCCTTCCTTACCTTCAGGCTTAAGGTCTGGGCTCGCCGCGGGGCGGGCGCGCAAATAGAGGGGACTGTCCACAGTCGCCATCTGGCCCCGAGGGGACAACGCCCCCGCAAGCAACAGCTGGGCGCGAGTGTATACGCCGGGCTCCTCGCCTATTTCCAGGCCCGGAGCCCGAGGACCAACTTTGCAATTGGAAAAACAGGCGCTCACGCCAGGCGACCCCGCGCGCGTGTGCAGCCGAACGCGCGGTCAGCAGTAATTCGAACCCGCCCCGCCCCCGTACCCCGCCCCCCGCCCAAGCCGCCGCGCAACAAAGGGGAGCGGACCAGAGGCTGATCCGGGACTCCGGGTGCGCCCTCCCGCGGGAGACCCGTGGGCGCTGCGGACAAAGGCGCCAGCCAGAGGAGGGGCGGCAGGGCGGGGCGTGCGTGGAAGGCTCTGGAAGAGGACCCGGGGACTCACCATGGGAGGGGCCGAGCGGGCCCGGATCCGCGGGGGCTGCGGGCCTCGAGGACCGGCGGGCCAGGAACGCGAGCGCACAGCGCGCACGACCAGGGGCCGCGGTGGCCGGCCGCGACCTCCGAGGGGGCCCCCGGCACCGGAGCGGTGCGGGGCACGGCGCGGGCGGACCATGGCGAGCGGGAGGCCGTGGGCCTCACGGGGGGCTGCGGGTCCGCCGACCGATAGGCGCGGGAGCGCGGCTTCAGGAAGACGCGGAGCGGGACCGCGGCGGCGGGGGACGCGCCGCTGAGGGGTCGCCGAGGCCGAACCACTGCAGCGAGCGGGGGAGCCCGGCGCCGACCAACGCGGAGCGAGGGGGGGGACCGGAGCCGACCAACGCGGAGCGAGGGGGGAGGTCGGCGCAAACCAACGCAGAACGGAGAAGTGCGTTGAGAAACACAGCTGGAGCCGTGAGGGGGGTGTGACTGGAGCCTACCAAGGTCAGAGGGAGGATTTCGGACTTGGAAATGACAAGAGTTGGAAATCACAAGAAGGAGAAACTGCAATAAAGTTTGAGTAGGTGGGACGATACCAAGTCCTCTCTGCTGGGGGGAACAGAAGGCAGTAGACAAGCTAATGGGCGGCGCGACGGAACCTACCAATAGAGCGAGGGGTGGATGAAAGGACCGGCGTAGGCGGTGACGTGGCATGGTGCACAAACTACAACTCCCAGCTGGCCTCGCGCGGCCTGGGCGGGATCTGGAGGCCGGGCCTAGCCTCTTGCCCTTTCGCTCTGGGCACGCCTACCGTCCCTTGTGCCTTATAGCAGGACTGCGCAGGGGTATTTCTTGCTTCGGTTTTTCACCTGTGATGTTACCTAGCCTTAGAGTACCTGAGCTCAAATTAACTCATTGTGATAAGTGCTTCGCGCCGTATCTACTCAAATGTTACCTGTGTGGCCCCCGGCTGACCTCGAGCTCCGGAGCGTTCTGTCTCCTCCTTTATTGGGAGTATGCATCCTCACACTTGGCTGTCGAAGTAGTAGGGTACTGAGAGTTGAACTTGAAGCCTTTGGCGTGCAAGGAAAAGCTCTCCCTTGCCTTTTTTTAAACAAGAAAACCTATTGGTAGTCTACCGTGTTCTGCCTAAATGATTTATACAATACTTTCACCAAATTATACCTGGCCCCTCGCAGCACATACCACAAGCTAACCGGAACAAATGCCCTGCGCAGGAGGCTAGCTTTATTTAATGTTGTGTTTTATAGTTGATTTAAACAAAGAGAGAGAGAGAGAGAGAGAGAGAGAGAGAGAGAGAGAGAGAGAGAGAGAGAGAGAGAAGCAAGAGAGCTCAGCTGGTAAGAGTCCTTGCCTGCCTGCCATGAAGCATGACAATCTTGCTAACCCACACAAGGAGCAAACCAACCCCTGCAAAGTGCCTGAGCCCCACACAAGTCCCATGGCAGATACGCACACAGTAATTCAGAGCCTGCTTGGACTATAAAGTTCAAAGCCTGACTGGACAGCTAACTTAGCAACGGCCTTGTCTCAAAAAAATAAAACAACGGGAGAACCTAGTAGTGGCACACAGCAGTAATCAAGAGGTGAAGGGACAAGGACCAGGAGTTCAAAGCCAGCATCAGCAAGCAACCTAGTGAGACCAAAGCCAGCCTGGACTACACAGGACTGCAGTTTCGGCAGAGCCAAAGCTGACTGGGGGCTGGTGGAGGGTGCATGGCTGCAGTGGGATTGGCAGCAGTCAGTGGCAACAGCTGGTTTTGAACCTGAGCCCAAAGGTTTTGTAAGAGAGGGTGGGATATAGGATGCCAGACAAAGCCAAGGTCGCCCTCACTGAAGCAGAAGTCAGACTGAAGAACAGGTGGGGCAGAGCTGTCTAGGGGGAACAATTTCTTATTTTTAAAGTTTTATGCTTGTGTGGGGGGGTGTTTTGCCTGCATGTGTGCCTCTACACCTTGTGCTTGCCTGCCTGGCAACTGCACAGGCTGGAAGAGTTTAGGATCCCCTGGAACTGGAGTTAAAGATGTTTGTGAGCCGCCATGTAGATGCTAGGCCTCAAATCTGGGTCTACTTCCTCTGCCATCTCTCCAGCCTCTATTTTGATTTGTTTTGCCGTTTGTTTATTCTCTTTCTCTCCCTCTCTCTCTCTCTCTCTCTCTCTCTCTCTCTCTCTCTCTCTCTCTCTCTCTCACACACACACACACACACACNTTTCTCTCTCTCTCTCTCTCTCTCTCTCTCTCTCTCTCTCTCTCTCTCTCTCTCTCTCTCTCTCTCTCACACACACACACACACACACAGAGTCACTGCTCATTGGTGGAAGTCAGCATCACTCTTTGGAGTTAACCCAGGGATGAACTCAGCTCTAGGGTTTGCTGCAGGTGCCTTAACAGGCTGAGACATCTTCCCACCTTTTCACTGCTTTTAGGAAATGTCTCGCTATGTAGCTCAGGCCGGTCTTGAACTCCAGATCTTCCTACCCTAGCTGCTCAAGGGCATAGGCATTGCCAATATGCCCTAGCTATGACGTTCCTCTTTGGTATGGGAGGCAGGAAGCACGGCGCCACACTTCAGGGCTATGACAGATCACTGCCAAGTTTTTCTGGGGGGCGGGAGGGGTGTGTGGATGGTTTGGATTTTTGTAGGGGGTAATTTTGTTTGTTTAGACAAGGTCTATGTAGCTCTAGCTAGTATGGAACTCACTATATAGTCAAGGCTGGCCTCAAACTTACAGAAATTTACCTGCCTCTGCCTCTTGAGTGCTTGGCAGGGATTAAAGGCATGAGCCACAATGTTTTTCTGTGTATCCCTAGCTGTCCTGGAACTCACTCTGTAGACCAGGCTGACATTGAACTCACTGGTATACTTGCCTCTGATCCCTAGCGCTGGGATTAAAGATGTGTGCCACCACCAGGTTTTTTAATCCTTGTATGTTTGTGGACAGCCAAGACTACACATTTGAGACTCTGTCTCTAAAAGCGGAGGCACAGGAGAGGTAAGTTGCAATTAAGAGCATTTATTGCTCTTCCAGAGGACCCAGGTTTGATCCCCAGCACCCACTTGGCAGCTCACAAATATCTGTTAACTCCAGTTCCAGGGGATTGATCCTATGCCTTTTTTGGCCTCTGTAGGCACCAAGAAAGTACATATAGATATACATGCAGACAAAACACCTATAAACATAAAGGAAACATTTAAAATATATAATAAAAATGTAAATTAAAAAAGCAAGGGAAACTGGGTGTGGTGATGGCAATGGCGCAAGGCTTTCATCATTCAGGAGGAAGAGGCAGACAGATCTCTGTGAGTTTGAGGCCAGCCTGGCCTACATAGAGAGTTCCAAGACAGCCAGAGCTACACAGAAAACCCTGCCTCAAAACACAGACAGGGCATGCCGTGGGTGACTCAACAGAAAGAAACTTCCAGCCGTTGGGTCGGACGTGACCTGAATTTCAACACCTGAAACTCGCAATAGAAGGCTAGGATTCTCAAAAGTTATCCTCCGACCACACACACCCCACCTCACACGTGCACACAAAAGCAGGGCAGGGGCTGGAAATCAGGTAACAGTAATTCATTAGCAGGAATCCTGGGTTCATTGTGAGCATGGCATGAACCAGACACGGTCTGCAGGCCTGTAACCCCAGCCCTGGGAGATTAGTTCAAGGTCATCCTCTGGTACTTCAAGAGTTTTGAGAGCAACCTGGGTGGTGGCATGGGTGTGTGGGTTCACGTGGGTCCGAGAAATGGAGACTCAGAGACACACTGAGAATGAACTTAGCCTCTCCGGCTGCAGGGGCTCACTCTCGGTGGGTAAACTGAAGCGCCTTGCCTTCCCCTCCCAGCATCTTAATTTTTCCCTATATTTACACGTTAGCCAGAAGAGTTTCATATCTAAGGCAGTGGTGGCGCACGCCTTTAATGCCAGCCCTTGGGAGGCAGAGGCAGGCCTTTTTTCGGGTGGTGGGAGTTTTAGACAGGAACTCGCTCTGTAGACCAGGTTGGCCTCGAACTCACAGAGATCCGCCTGCCTCTGCCTCACAAATCGTGAGATTAAAGGCATGCGCCACCACTGCCTGAAGTGGCTGTCACTTCTTTGTTTTCTGAAGATTTTCTAATTTTGCATTTCTGTGACTGTGAATGAATCTATGCGGGTATGCAGTGCTCTGGGGAGCCAGAAGAGGGAGCGGGTGAGCTGGCTGACATGGACCCTGGGAAAAGAATCCAGGCCCTCTGTTCTTAACCTCTGACCCATTTGTTGGTGCCCAATGTCATCTCTGCTTTAGAAACAGGTTCTGATTGACAGTGTTGTTTGTGGCACTGGGCCCCCAAGGCTGGACAAGCACTCTACACACAACGACAGACTGTCTTTGTTTTGGTTTTGAACTTGGTCTTGCTATCTGTCTTGTGTTGGAACTGAGAAGACCAAGCTGGCCTTGAACTCCGGTAGTTCCTGCCTGAGTATCCTCTTCCAGGTGAGAAAAAAACCTGGCTGCTCTCTTTTCTCCCTAATTTTTCTGTCCTCGGCTTGTGCCTGGCCTGCTACTTTGGCAAGCAGAATTCCTGTCCTCCCCCCTACCCGCCCCCAAGCTCAGGCCTGGTCAAGGCTGTAATGCTTCTGGACATGGTGGCACACGTTTGGTTTGGGTTTGTTCTTTTTTTTTTTTTTTTTGGTTTTTCGAGTCAGGGTTTCTCTGTGGTTTTGGAGCCTGTCCTGGAACTAGCTCTTGTAGACCAGGCTGGTCTCGAACTCACAGAGATCCGCCTGCCTCTGCCTCCCGAGTGCTGGGATTAAAGGCGCGCGCCACCACCGCCCGGCCAGGGTTTGTTCTTTTTTGAGGCAGGGTTTCTCTGTGTAGCTCTGGCTGTCCTGGAACTCACTCAGTAGACCAGGCTGGCTTTGAATTCATAAAGATCCTCTGGTCTCCCCCTCACAAGCGCTGGGTCTAAAGGTGTACACAGCCTTGGCTGGCAGGAGGGGCTGGCTGAAGGCAGGTCCCTGAGTTCAAGGTCAGTCTGGTCTACTACAGGGCGCGACCACCTCCAAACAAACCGGTGCTGAGCACTCTGCCGGCGGCTCCCTCTCCCAGCCGACTGCCCATGTAAGCTGGCTGGTTTGTGTTGTAAGGTTTGGCCACATTTTGCTTTGAGTGTGCTTTGGTCAGTGACCACAATCCCTCCTGCATGCTGCACAAGCCTTCATGCCTTTAGAATCCGGGCCAGGGCAACACTGACCCACGGGGAAGGTGAAGTGGAGAGGCCAGCCTGTTGAGCAGCTGGGACGACAAATCTGTGTCTCAACCATCCTTTCCTTGTGAAATCTATTTTTAATTCTGTGTATGCATGTGTGCAGGTGTCCTTAGAGGCCAGAGGAGTCAGTTCCTCCTGGAACTGAACATTCTTGGTCCAATTTGGCACCACTACCTGACAGGAAACACTACAATGATCACTTATAAATACAGCAAAGTGTGCTTCCAGAAGAGTGCAGGCACAGCGAGCGCACAGGTGTCCGTGAGTCACATGACCTGGGTGCTGGTCACTGAACTCAGATCCTCTGCAAGAGCAGTCAGTACCCATTCTTACCTGCCAAGCCCACCACAACCATTCTCAACCAATCCCTTCTGAGAGCAAACCCAGTTTCCCTGGAACTTCTGCCTAGTGCCTCCCTGTACCGATCGCTTCTTTGCCTTCAGAAACCTGCCTGCTTCTCCCAGCTTCCTGTTCCCTGCCCACCTCTCACACACGGGGTCTTGTTCTTCTAGAGGTCACAAATGGTGGCCTGGTGGTCTCCTGAGACCCACAGCAGATTTTGTTTGGTCCTCAGTGTGTGTGGTTTTGGTTTAAAGGCCGCCAGGCGGGGCAAGCGCTCTCCAGGTTCGCCACAGTCCCTAGCATCCCATGTCTCAGAGCCACGGGCACACAATGGCTGCGTGGCCAAGTCAGTACCTTGCTTTCACGTCTTCAGCTGCACCTGGGTCCCCTATTCTCTTTCAGTTTGTGAGAATCACCCGGGAAAGGGCCCTCCCAGCCCCTCCCAGCCAGACCCCAGGGCAGGTGCAGAAGCTCACCGGCTAGCAGGGCCAGGCTGTCCCAGGAGGGGGTGGGTCAGTCAAAGAGAAGGAAAGCCCATGGCCAGAAGGATAATCAAATTGGATCTTTACTGATCTACGGTGAACGCATGGAACACAACACAAACATGTATGATACTAGAGTCCATACTTTAAATTCAAAATTGAAAAAATACAAATTGAAAAATAGAAATATTTAATTATTAAAATTTCTCTCTTGTAATTCTCTTGTGCCTTTGAGAGGAGGCTAAAAGGTTGACACCTGCCCTTCTACACCCAGATATCAGTGCTGGGCCTTGCATGGGGCAGAGAAACAGGCAGATGAGAATTCAACCTTGATCCATAAAATGGAGTTTTTGATTTAGGTCTGTAATGAAAACAGTGACTGTCACAAGTGTGTGCAGCCAGACATTTGGGACACTGCTGGGCGAGGCTGAGGACCCTCGCCATCCCGCAGAATTGCAAGCACCCTGGAGCACTGCAACTTGCACTGGGGTCTGCGTTCACACAACCATTAAGAGCGAGCTAGCCAGTGCTAGCTCAGGATCAAGTAGAGCACGGCCCTTGGGGGGACTTGGTCTTGGGTCTCACAGTGTAAAGGGCTAGTCCTGGCACCTCTCATTTCACACACAGCTGCAGCGAGGTGAGCAGTCCACTGTTCCCCGGCAGTGGCATCTGTCTGCCAGGACCACAGCTGTCATACATTCAGGAGCTGTTTGTGAACATCCCTGCTGAGACAGATTCAGTGTTCAACACAAGTTTCTGACCTCCAGGGAACAAGCATGGCTCTGCACACTTTGAAATGAACCAGGCATGCCGGTTTGGATTTCCTGTATGTCCTGGTCTCAGAAGGTTGGCTCAGTTCAAGCACAGGAATGCCAGAGTCAAGGTGTCGTGTATCTGAATTCCTGGTGATTGAGGCGAGGACCTGATCCAGGTCCTCAACAAACAGTGTCACTTGGGATCGAGGTATGGGATGGCCCCTCATGATGGACGACCCGATCACTGTGATGGGGCTGTAGTTGTGCTTATGAATTCTGATGTGTATGCCTGCACAAGAGTAAGTCACTTCAAAGCAAGGGGTTGGCGAGGGGCCGCCTCACAGACTTCAGCTGTATGGAGATCACCGCCACCTCAAATAAATAAAGCTAACTGTGTGGTCAGAGTTTCCGCACAGCCATGGATCAGGCTGCTAGACCCCAGAAGGCCTCCGACTCCTGCGAAAGCTTGTCAGACCCACAGGCCAACCTTGAGGATGCAGTTCTGTTCAGGACACGCGAGTTCTTTCCACGTCACTCCATGGCTCCTATTCCTGGCTCTCTAGAGCCTCGCTGGCTCGGAGGGCCCTCTTCAGCTCCTGCAGGAGCATGTCGCGGCTCTGCGCTGTGTACTGGTCGTAGCTCTTACTGTGCTGGGACTCATAGTGGCGCTTCAGGTTGTACTCTTTCAGGACTGACACATTTTTTTTGCATATTAAGCACGTAGGCATACTCTTCACTTCCACAAAGAAATAGTCTCGCTCCCACTTTTCTCGAAACACGCGGCCCTCTCCTTCTTTCTTTCGTTTGGCCACTTTTGAAGGAGACATGGGTACAAGAAAGATTTCACTTTTCTCTGAATGCTACCACAGAACCACCACAGTGCCAGCCTCGTGACTGAGGCAGGGCCCTTGCCTCACCGTGGAAGAGCAAGAGAGAGTGGTGGGGACTGTGGCGAACCCAAGAGCATGAGCCCCATTGATGGGGCAGACCCAGCTACTACTGCCAGGTAAAAGGGTGGCCCCGGGTGTCAGGCTTCCAACATGTCAAGAGGAGCATGTGTGTGAATTTCACTTGAGTTTTACAGCTAACTGGAAGGAAGAAAGTGGCAGATGCTAACACAGGGAAGGCCAAACAAAACTCAACTGTGGTGGTCCACTGCCACTCGACTGCGGCCTCTCTCCTGGGATGGGTGGGTGACCTGCACGTTAACCAACGTCCCAAACCCAGGCGGTGGTCCAGGCACAGCCCACACTCACGGTTAACATGTGCCTAAGTGACAAATACCTCACTCCATCTCCAGGGGACAACCTGCAGACGGGCGGGAGGACACAGGCTTCCCCACTTATCCACCTCCAACTGGAACCAGTGCCTACTCTGTGCATAACCTTGACTGCTACGTCTTCAAGCACAGCACACACTGTCCCAAAGGGACATCCTGACTTCCTGGTGTGGCACATGTCACCTGAACAGGCCCGTGACTTTGCTTCCTGCCTGCCCTGCTCCTACCTATCAGCGAGCCTTTCTGACACTAGTAGCCCTCTGGCAGTCTCTGGGGTCCAACATCCCCAGGACAAATCTCAAGCATTTCAGTCTGGACTCCACCTCTGGCTCCTCCCTGTAATGCTTGTGTTCCAGGAGCACCCACCTCCTGACCCTGCATGTCCCTTTTCTGTGGCTTTGGCTATCTGAACCTAGGTCCCTTCTGGCTCCCAACTGCTGCTTCTCCTTCCAGGCTCCTCGGAACCCTGGCTGGGTCAGAGGCATTCTGGGCTCTGTAACCCTTTGAGTGCACATGAGCTGTGCACTGCCTGCCCACCTGCCTCTGAGTCTCCCAGAACCAGGCCACACCATGCTGCCTCCAACTCACCCCGTGGCCCAGCATCACCCAGCCGGGGCCTTGGGGAGTCTGCAAGGCGAGAGCAAAGACAGCCCTAGGGGCGTCAGTGACGGGAGCCGGGCATTGTTAAAAGGAACTTTATTGGGTGTTGGGTTCAGATGAGGTCCATGAGGATGTCGTCCTCCATGACGCTGGGCTGCAGGCCCGGCTGGGGGACCGGGCCTCGGGGACCCCCGCTCAGCAGCATCTGACCTGGGGGGCAGTGGGAAGGGACTGCATCTCCCAGTGGTCCCTGGGGCCATTGAGGACCCCGAGTCTCTCATCCCACCTCTTCTGGGGACCCAAGGTAGTCAAGTTTCTAGTAAGCTCCAGGGACCGCCAGAGCCAGAGATCCTTCTAAGCCCAACTGGATGCATACTTTCCTTTGACCCTCTGGGAGCCCTTCCCCAACAGCTTCACTGACGCTAAGACATCTTCTAGCAGCCCAGGACAGCAGGGAAGGATTGTGGGATGTCTCACTCACTGAGGCCTTGCTCCCATGGCTGAACTTCCCCTCTAGAGCTATGGGAGGCCCTTTGGTAATGGGGCCTTGCCCGTAGCTGTAGGGACTCCCAGTCTACACCCCTGCCCTCCCTGAACACCCTTACCTGGCAGTGGAGCCCGCTGGGGAAGCTGTGCAGGCCAAGACTGGGCAGGCGGAGGGTGCAGGAGTTGCGGCCCCAGCTGGGGTTGCCCCAGGCTCTGATGTGGTGGTGGAAGCAGAGCAGGGGCCCCTGGAGGCTGCAGGTGGTGGAGGGAGGCCTGGGGTGGGGGTACCCCAGTCTGGAGTTGGGGAAGACAAAGAATGGCTCAGAGGAAGGCCATGCTGGTACAGCCACCTCTTCCTCCCAGAGACTCTGGCTGAGAGCCTGCAACCCCTGCTGCCTCACCGGTGCCGGGTTAAGGAGCAGGCTCCGCAACTGGGGATTGGCTCCAGGGTTCTGGGGACGAAGGATGGGTCCAGAAGGAGGTGGGCCAGGGGCTGTTCCTGGAGGACCCTGGGGAGCCCCTGTGGGGGCCTGGGTAGTGCCTTGGGGCGGGGGCTGCCCTGTAGCCACAGAGGCCCCCACAGCACCTTGAGGCTGGGACTGTGGCGCCCGGAGCTGGAGCTGGGGAGCAGACAGCATGAGGAAGGACAGACAGTAGGTGGCTGCCCCAACTCCACCCGACCCCAGCCCCAACCCCACCAGTCCCCACCCGAGTCCTCACTAGATTCTGCGGGGGCCTCGCTTGGTCCTCCAGAATGGGGCCCAGGCCTGGAGGTGCCTGCTGTGCCCCCATCTGCATGGGGACAGAGAGGACAGGTCAGTGGTGAGGGAAGGCTGTCTGAGGCCATCGAAGGACCTGGCGTGTAGGAGTAGGGTGCTATCCTCTAGGTACACCACGTAGGAGGTGCATCCCACCTGCCTGGTCACTGTGGAGGGACCAACACTGCTTTGCTGGGACACAAGGGACACATGGACAGAGACGACCTATCTTGGCACTAGAGATGAGGCCATGACGACTGGGCTCTGGGGTGATGAGAGGACACTGGCTGGCCACCAGCACACTCACCCCTCGCTGCTGCTCCAGCTTCTGCTGCTGGACCTGCTTGTGGTTGGTGATGACCTGGCGGATGCCGTTGACAAAGCCACTCTGGTCGTAGGGGATGAGGCCCATGAAGATCTTCTTCTTGGATGAGTACAGGAGCATGAGCACGCGCACCTCGCATGGGGCTGTGTGTGGGAAGTGCACGCAGCCCGCCTGTGGACAGAGACTCTTCAGAAGCAGCCTACCAGAGAGGCACAAGATACCCACCTCATCCTACAAAATTGCCCTATGGGCAAAAAGTAGGGAGGTCTCACTGCATAAGGCCAGGACGGGCAGGCTGGCTTGGCCGCTGCCCTGGAAACAAAAGACTGAGAGCAACAGGCACTCAAGGGCACCCACTGCCCACCGAGGAAAGACAACAGGCCACAGCAGAAGCCATGGTGACCCTGAGTGCCTCCGCCTCATGTCTCACTCTGTGCAGTGCCGGGCTAACTCCCCAAGTCACCCTGGGGAGGATGCCAGGAAGTCGGGGCTAGACCCTTGAGGACGGGTCTATCTCTCTGCCAGTGCCCACCAGCATGGACTAGAGAATGGCAACATCACAGGGCAGCTATCCTGGGAGTCGGAGTGTCCCCAGATGGCTTTGGCTGCCTAGGTGACTTCTCAGAACCTACAGCTGGCGCCCATCCACATAAACCCCTCTCCTTTCATAGTGCACCCAGACCAGGCAGCGCCGCTCAGGCCAGGGTACTGGTGAGTGTCCTCCGTACAGGGGTGCAGCCTAGGGACCCAGTTCTGACTCAGGTAAAAGGAAGGAAATTACAGTTATTGTTTTAAAGGGCACCCAGAGGCTGGGGTGACTACACTGTGCCTATGAGAGGCTGGGGATTGACGTCACTGAGCTCCCCCTCTGGGTTCTATTCTGCAGCAAAAACATTAGTCCTTGCTACTCAGTCTTGAAACATGCCCCCAGAATTCAGTGTTTGCACTGAGGAAGCCAGAGATGAGCCCCACCAGAGGATCCTGGGTCCAGCTGAGCTTCTTGACAACAGCCCTGACAGAATCGCTGTGTGCTGGGGCCACAGACACGAGAGAGTGCAGCAGGCCACAATGTCAGCTGAGGCTGATTCCCCCCACACAAGCGCCAACCCACTAGCACCCAGGAAGGTGGGCCGCCACAGATGGGACAGGCCCGATGCCACAGAGTGGGGACAGAGATAAGAACAGGGCAGGAGAAGCTAGCCCTCCGGGGCCTGAGACAGGAGGATGTCCAGGTGGAAGTCTTACTACATGGCAAGACTTGTCTCAGATCAACAACAACAACAAAAACCAGCACCATGGGACAGGAATGCGGCAGGGGCCAGAACATGTGGTCAGGCAAGGCCTGGGCCTACCTGCAGCCTCAGGGCCTGGGGTTTCCCACCAAGTCAGCAGAGAAGGGGACAGAAGTTAGTGCCCACCCCCTGCCCGCCACTCACAAAGCCATTGCCCATGATGCGGTAGAGGCCTTTGAGGGATTCCAGGTCCTTGTTGGTGAAGTGGAACTGAACCATTCTTGAGTTCCGGAACAGCGGCCCCAGAGTGGTCTGGAAACATGCAGGCGTCACATGGGGGCAATACCACGGTAAAGGGAAGCGTTATGTGGGGAACGAGGGCAGGGTCAGGCAGGCCTTGGCCTGGCAGGACGTACCAGCAGCTGCTGAGGGATGAGCTGCATGATCAGTTTCTGGGGCCACTGCTCAGTCTTCCTGCGGGAGAAAGAGAGAAGAGAATCAGGAGAGGCCAGGCTGAACCTGCCCCCACCCCTGACAAATACCTACAGGTTTTCTCCATGGTTCACATAGACCTGGCAAGGTAGAGACCTTGTCAGCTTGGTGTTGGCATCCACGGATGCAGGCTTTGGCTTCTGAAGGAGAAAGGGTGATCAGCCAGGGCCTCCTTTCTCACCTCCACAGCCCCTGCAGCCCCACATCTCCTCTACGTCCCAGCAGCCTCACACCCATGCTCCCAAAGTTCACAAATACTGCCCCTCCTCTGGGCTCCAAATCTTATAATCGCTATCCCCCAGAAGCCACAATACCTAAGGCCCTGCTGGGAGCCCAAATTCTAGGTTTTGCTGCACGCACGCTGCATGCACATGCACATGTGTGTGCGAACAAGCAAAGGGGGGAGGCTGGGGATGGAGGCCTTGTGCCTGGCAGGTAACTGTTCAACTACTGAGCTTCAACATACATTTTTTGTAGTTGCTTTTCTGAGATAGGATCTCACTATATATCTCTCTCTGGCTGTGGCTGTCCTGGAACTCACTAAGTAGACCAGGCTGGCCTTGAACTTACAGAGATCCACCTGCCTCTACCTCCCAAGCATTGAGATTGAAGGTGTGTGCCACTATGCCTGGCTTCAACATAATTTTTATTTGTTTGTTTTTTGAGACAGGGTTTCTCTGTGTAAAAGAGACCAGGCTGGCCTCGAACTCACAGATCCACCTGCCTCTGCCTCACAAGTGATGGGATTAAAGGCTTGCGCCATCACTCAACATAATTGTTCTTAAAACCCAGCTGTGGCACTTGTGTGCACTTGTGAAGCAGAGGCAAGTGGAGCTCTGTGAGTTCAAGGTCACAAAGTGAGTTCCAGAACAGGTTCCATAGCTACACAGAGAAACCCTGTCTCAAAAAGACCAAAAACCAAAACAAACAAGAAAAACCCCAAAAACCCAACTGTGGTACCTGGTTCACAAATCCTAGCCTTCTTCTGGACCAGCTCTTCTGGGAGCTACCCACTTCCCACATACCCAACAAGTGCTCAAACCCCCTCACCTCCTGCCACTCGAGGACCCCACTCCAGGCCAGGAGCTTGTTCGACACTGACTGTTGTCCACCAAGTGCAGGAGCCCCAAGCTGGGCCGGTGAAGGACCACTGACCCCACCTGGAGCTACAGTGCTTGCCTGCTGAGGAGAACACACAGCAATGAGGGGACCATACCATCTCAGGGAGTGGCTACCCTAAAAGGGGCAAGACAAAGACCCCTTCCTTTACACTACCACCACCACCACCAGGTGTACCAGGGACCATCAAGTCATTCATGAGAAACCAGACCCCAGAAACTACAGGCATCTCAGAACAGCTTGAGGCTCACACTCCTGCCCCAGAGCTGCAGAACACAGCTGTGAGCTTTGCTGTTGCTCCTCCCCTGTGCAGGAGGCATGTACTTCCCATCCACCATGAACAGGGAACAGGGCTAGGTGCTAGAACACACCACCTACCATAGATGGAGCTCCAGGCTGGGCAGTGGGTGCCAGACCTGGTCCAGGGGCCACAGTGGAGACTAGGCTAGGCTGGGAAGCAGGAGGTGGCTTGGGGGCTCCAGGAGGCCCAGGAGCCAATGGGGGTGCTGGGGCCTGGCTGAAGGGGGGCCCCACTCCCGAAGCAGCTTGCTGGAGAGGGTTGATGGGTGAGAAGCGTGGGCCCAGCCCAGCCTTCTGGCTCTTGGCGGCCTCCACAGCATTCTGTGCAGCCACCTGAGCAGCGCTGAGGTTCCCAGGGACCTGTCACAAGGGGAGAAGACCACACACCCCTACAACTATGTACTTGTAGCCCCTCGAGGCCAACCACACTCCTCTCGTGACCCAGGAGCTCCAGCCCCCATCACCACAAAGGCCATTGACCTGGGGGGCCCCTCAAATTGTAATCCCAAAGTTTCATTATGTCCTCCCAAGAGACCATGGCTCTGCGTGGCTCCCGGTAACATCCTTACCTGGTACTGTGGTGGGACAGGGGGCAGAGCCTGCTGGGGGGCTGCAGAGAGTGTGCTGGCAGAGGATGGAGCTGGAGGCAGGGGGACTGTTTGCTTGGGCTGCAGAGGGCCTGGGGCTGAGCTGCCACCAACTGAGACAGGAGAGACAGGGTTGAGAGTAGAGAGAGGGACATCCAAATCCATGTGAAGAGTGTGCTAAAGAGTGCCCCCTCCGTGTACCGCACCCGGTCCTCACCAGGCAGTACGAGCCCACGCACTAGCACCATGTGCCGCGGGTCCTGGCTCACATCTGCTGGAGGCTGCAAGGGCTCCAGCAGGGCCGGAGGAGCCGCCTTCTCAAACAGAAGCCGAAGGGCGGGCAGCTTTCTTGGAGAAACAATGGAGAAGTGGATCCCACGCTACAGGAAGGGTAAGGCAGGAATGAGGCCTCCAGAAGCGAGTGGGGCTAGCCCCTTCCCCACTACATGGAGGGACAGTCTGGCCCTCCGACCACAACTTTCATCAGAATGGATGGCAAAACAGGGCATTGGGGTCCGGGAGGATTCTGACAATCCTAAGTAGGCATAGAGTTCATGCCTATTTATTTATTTATTTATTTTGGTTTTCCAAGACAGGGTTTCTCCGTGGCTTTGGAGTCTATCCTGGAACTAGCTCTGTAGAACAGGCTGGTCTCGAACTCACAGAGATCCGCCTGCCTCTGCCTCCTGAGTGCTGGGATTAAAGGCGTGCGCCACCACTGCCCGGCCTTGCCTATTTTTTTGACTCAGGTTTTCAGACCCCAGCCTGTTTCCTAGGATCCAGAGGTGCAGGCCCTCCCATTCAGCACCCCAGCTCACCTCCCCTATCTTCTGCACCAGGCTCTCGGTTGTACAGCCAGAGTACGTGGTGCTCTCCACGGCAGGCAGCAGGTATGGGGGCGAGTTGCAGATGAGGAGGCAGACTCTGTGCGTCTGGCCACTGCAGGGACACAGTCAAGCAATGGAGCAGGCACCTGTTAGCAGCAGCTCAAGGTCATGCCCTCACCAGCTAGGATCCTTTGCAGTTGACAACACTGAGGCTCTTGGGCTGAGTGACAGTTCTAAGTCACCTACTGGACAAGGGGCACAGGAGGGAGGTCCCAGCTAGTGTCAGGTCAGAGGGCGCTGGCCTACCCTACCCTGGCCTGCACAGGGCCCCTGCTCCTCTCCAGCTCCAGCCTGAGGACTGAGGAGGGCTCAGGAGGCGCGCACTCACATCTGTTCCCGCATCTTCTTGAAGTCATCGAACAGCTGCAGGGCAGTGCTCAGGCCTTCCGCAATGAGGCTGCAGCTCTCACCACCGCCGCCCATGAACCTGCGGGACAGTTAGTCAGGCACAGTGCACCTGCACAGGCACTTGGCACTGCTCCCTCCATCTCACACTGCACTGCGCCTTAGATGGACACCATCTCAGAGTCCTCAGAGATCTACTCGTGACTAAGCAGCACTGGGCAGGGGAAAGGCAGGGAAAAGGTATCAGAAGAGGGAAGAGAAGGGCCCAGGACACGGAGGCCAGCGTCTGTGCTCTCAGTCCTGGGGTGCCCAATGCCCTAGCCATCCTCCAGCTGCCCTTTCCGGACTGGGCCATCTGCTTCACTGGTTTGTTCCCCTTTTCTCTCTCTTCTTGCTGTATAGCTCTGGCTGTCCTGGAACTCACTTGGAACTAAACCAGGCTGACCTTGAAGTCACAGATCATCTTGCCTTTGTCTCAGTATGACAAGTGCTGGGATTAAAGGTGTGCATTACTATGCCTGGCTCTCACTCGATTTTGTTTGTATTTTATGTGTATGATGTTTTGCCTGGATGTCTGTACACCACGCACATCCGTGGTGGCTTTGAGGGCCAGGAGAGGGCATTAGGTCACCAGAAACTAGAGTTATGGGTAGTTGTGAGCACCATGTGGGTGCTGGGAATCAAGCAGTGTTCCAGTCTAGGGAGGAGCACTAAGACGGCCTCCCCTATACTATGGTAAAATGCACTCGCAGACAGGAGCAAGTGAGCCACAGTGGCTATACAAGTAACAGGGGAGACAGAAGTCATTACAGGACCCAATCCAGAGACACTTCCATCTCTCTGACAAAGGGGAAGGTGGGAGCAGGTGTGGACCAAGCCACCAAGCACCTGAGTTCAGGGGCTTTTCCTCTGCCAGCACTGTGGCCTTGGCAGCAGCCACACTCTTCTCAAACACGGCTTCTGGTACTTTCCCACAGCCACCTAGGAGGCCCACTGCCAATCTCCCCCCATAAGCAGGGACAGGGTCTGAGCCATCTCGTTTCTTGTCCCTAGCCTGGTCTATCTGTCTGGCCCACAAGAGGCCAATAAAGCCTTTGGCTGGGCCTACACTGGTGTTGCATCCTCTGCCTGCCAGGCTCACGGATGACGCACCTGTCTTTGCCTAGATTCCGCCCCAAAGCGACTTCATTTTGGCCTGGGTGGAGACCCAACTTATCTACCCTAAGTGCCCAGCATGGCCTCCTCCAGGAAGCCCACCCACCAGATGCCACCATAGTGGCACAGGTCATCCAGACCCTGTGGAAGTGACACCTCCCACCATGGCCACTCCTCAGGCTCCCTCTGCAGCCTTCCTCAGGAGTCTCCGTCACTGCTGCAGCTCGGTGATCTGCAGAGGCCACACCAAGTTCTGGACATGGCTTGACAGACAGACAGATGCACCTGAAATCTCTAGGTGTTCCCACACTGTGTCCTCAGGCTTTGAGCTTGCCCCATGCTTCTCTCCAGGAACCTTCCCTGCTTGGCTCCTTCACCACCCACTCCCTCACCCTCTTGGTCCTCAGAAGCAAGGATTTTTATCGTTACCTTTACAGTTTTGAGACTGGCTTTAGTGGCCCAAAGTGGCCTGAACTCTAGCTTAGGCTGGCCTGGAACTCCTCCTGAGTGAAGGCACAAGCTACCACATCCAGGTGCAGCAGAAAATTGATGGCCACAGAGCTGGAGCCCAGCCACATTAGGTCCAAGAGATGTCTCCATAAAATACCACCAGTCGCCCATAAAATTCTTCAAAGACCTCGAAAGAACAGTACTCAACTTCATTTGGAAAAGCAAAAAACCCAGGATAGCCAAAACAATCCTGGACAATAAAAGAACTTCTGGAGGCATCACAATCCCTGACTTCAAACTCTACTACAGAGCTACAGTACTGAAAACAGCCTGGTACTGGCATAAGAACAGACAGGAGGACCAATGGAACCGAATAGAAGATCCGAATATCAATCCATACATCTTCGAACACCTGATATTTGATAAAGAAGCAAAAAATATCAAATGGAAAAAAGAAAGAATATTTAACAAGTGGTGCTGGCATAATACATATCAACATGTAGAAAAATGAAAATAGACCCATATCTATCACCATGCACAAAACTCAAGTCCAAATGGATCAAAGACCTCAACATAAAGCCAGCCACACTGAACCTTATAGAAGAGAAAGTGGGAAGTACACTTGAACGCATTGGCACAGGGAACCACTTCCTAAATATAACCCCAGCAGCACAGACACTGAGAGAAATAATTAATAAATGGAACCTCCTGAAACTGAAAAGCTTCTGTAAAGCAAACAACACGGTCAACAAGACAAAACGGAAGCCTACAGAATAGGAAAAGATCTTCACTAACCCCACATCAGACAGAGGTCTGATCTCCAAAATATACAAAGAACAAGAAAAGATCACATAATCCAATAAAGAAACTGGAGTACAGACCTAAACAGAGAACTCTCAACAGAGGAATCTAAAATGGCTGAAAGAAGCTGGGCGATGGTGGCCCACGCCTTTAATCCCAGCACTCGGGAGGCAGAGGCAGGCGGATCTCTGTGAGTTCAAGACCAGCCTGGTCTACAGAGCTAGTTCCAGGACAGGCTCTAAAGCCACAGAGAAACCCTGTCTCGAAAAACCAAAAATAAAATAAAATAAAATAAAATGGCTGAAAGACACTTAAGGAAATATTCAACATCCTTAGTCATCAGAGAAATGCAAATCAAAACAACTCTGAGATTGCATCTTACACTTGAAAGAATGGCCAAGATCAAAAACACTGATGACAACTTATGCTGGAGAGGTTGTGGGTAAAGGGAACACTCCTGCATTGCTGTTGGGAATGCAAGCTGGTACAACCTCTCTGGATGTCAGTGTGGCGATTTCTCAGAAAATTAGGAAACAACCTTCCTCAAGATCCAATAATACCACTTTTAGGTATATATCCAAAGGATGCTCAATCGTGCCACAAGGACATGTGCTCAACTATGTTCATAGTAGCTTTGTTTGTCATAGCCAGAACCTGGAAACAGCCTAAATGCCCCTCGATCGAAGAATGGATAAAAAAATGTGGTACATTTACACAATGGAGTACTATACAGCAGAAAAAAAATAAAACATCTTGAATTTTGCAGGAAAATGGATGGAACTAGAAAACATTATTTTGAGTGAGGTAACCCAGGCACAGAAAGACAATTATCACATGTACTCACTCATAAGTGATTTTTAAACATAAAGCAAAGAAAGCCAGCCTACAAACCACAATCCCAGAGAACTTAGACCACAATGCGGGCACTAAGAGAGACTTACATAGATCTAATCTACATGGGAAGTAGAAAGTAGAAAAAGACAAGATCTCCTGGGTAAATTGGGAGTATGGGGACTTTAGGGGAGGGTTGAAGGGGGAGGGGAGAGGCAGGGAGGGGAGCAGAGAAAAACGTAGAGCTCAATAAATAACATGAAAAAAAAAAGAAAAAAATTACCACCAGTCACATATACAATAAGCAAGAGGGTTTTATTAATTTCACCACGTTGGGGTGGCACATGGCGACAGCCCAAGAGGCTCACAGACCCCCTTTAAACCAGGTTAGGGGAATCCCAGCGAAGGGAGGTTAGTTTTTGGGCTGATTGGTGGGTTTAAACAGTTCACAGTTGCTACAGGATTGGTTGGTGGCTCAGAGGTTAGGCCTTGCCAGCTGCAGGCTGGGAGAAGCTCTCTTTAGTTCTCTGAAGCTTGCACAAGGCTGCAGGGTGCCCTCTGACTGGTTGCCCCTGGGTTGTGGCTTTCCCAAGAATGGCCTGCTCAGCTCCAGCCAGTCCCAATAAACTGAAGCTAAGGCCTAGTCCCTGGCAGGGGCTATCAAAAACCTGTCATGGCTCTGGTCTGGCTCCCTGGTCCTCTCACCATGCACCAAGACAACCCTACATCCAGTCCTGCTACCTAGCTTCCTGCTACGGGAGAAACCAAGCCATAAGTTTCTCAGCCTCTCTGAGACCTGCCTGAGGCAGAGGCACCAGGAAACAGCTTCAGGCGGTGACAGGAATGTTGCGACATAGCAGAGGGAGCACTCGCCTGGCAGTGTGCCAGCACTGGGGGCTGCACAACTGTCCGCTGAACATGGCCATCCAGTGCTGCCAGCTACACGTTAGTTAAGAAAAATAACTCAGCCTTTAATCTCAGCACTCGGGAGGAGAGGCAGGCGGATCTCTGTGAGTTCGAGGCTAGCCTGGTCTACAGAGTGAGTTCCAGAACAGCCAGGGCTACACAGAAGAAACCCTGCCTTGAAAAACAAACAACAACCAAACAAAGAAGCCCAGAGCAAGGCTGTTCCTAACCACACTGTACTCCTGTCTCCAAGCAGCAACAATGGAAGGGGAGACTTCCCAAGCAGGGCCAAGCCCTGCTGATTCCCATTCCAGCCCTGCCCAGAACATCTTGGGAATGGGTCACAGGCCTTGATCAAAAGGGTGATCCTGGGAGAGTTAAGCAATGCTGAAATGCCTAGCGTAGCTGAGGCCACCCAAATGGGGACACTTGTGTTTCCAGGGTCCTAATGTAGAACTGTCCAGATAGTATCTCCCTCTATCTTCAAGCGCCTAAGGGAGGGGTGGTCTGTGTCTTTGAGCCATCACTCCTTGTAGGAGTCAGACCCTACTTGGAAGTAGTCCAGAAGTGGAGGCAGGGACAGGGAAGCAGAGGACAACTGACTGATAACAAAAGCCACAGACATGTGCCCAGGAGACTTAGCAGCCAAGCAGGAGTTGAAGAGAACAGAGCTGGCTGCACTGCTCTCAGACTTCCGGCTAAGCAATGGGAAGGAGGTCTCACAAGCATCCGCATCAACCCTGCCGTGTGAGGACCCTGGGCTCCTCAGAATTCCAATGGCTGTTCCTCAAGGCTCACCTCCATCTAGCCCCGAGGTCTTAGATAAGGAAGGCGTCATCTGGCCTCTAGGAGACAACTTTCCAGGGGTGCCACTGCCAGGTGGCAGGGAAATTTCAGGGCCATTGTTAACATTCTCATCGAGGCAAGAGCACCTGCCTAGCGTGGACAAAGCCCTGGGCTCCACTCCCAGCAGCGTGCACATACACACAAATCCCAACTTTCCACAGCACCCAGGACAGGCTTCACAACAAAGAATTATCTATTTTCAGGACCTAGAGAGATGGCTCATCAGTGAAGAACACTGGCTGTTCTTCCAGAGAACCCAGATTCAATTCCCTACACTCACATGGCAGCTCACAACTGTCTGTAACCAGTTCCAGAGGACCTGGCACCCCTGAACAGACATACAGGTAAAACCTCAATGCACATAAAATAAATTAAAAGATCTTTAAAAAAAAAATGATCTAGTCCAAGCCAGGTGTAGCGGCTCAGAGACCTAGACAGAAGCAGCCGAGGAAGGAGGATGAACAGGCAAAGGCCAGCTCTTGCCACACAGGCACTTTGTAGCTAGCCTGGAAAACCTGATAAGACACTGTCTCCAATTTAAAAATGGACTAGAGGCGGGAGAAATGGCCATGCTAAGAGAGCATGGCTGCTCCCTCAGAGGACACAGATTGGACTCCCAGCACCCACATGGCAGCTCACGCTGTCTAACTCTAGTTCCAAAGAATCCTATTCCCTGGCACCAGGCACACAAGTGATACGCAGACATGCATGTAGGCACAACACTTGTACACCTTAAGCAAAAAGAAATCAGTCTTTTTTAAAAACTTGCATGCCAAGTGTCAACGATGCCTAGAACAGGAAGCCAAGCTGTCAAGTGGAGTGTAAGGCCAGCTCTCCATCAGTCTACTGTGTGTTTGCACGACACACACACAACCAAACACGGCGGACATGCAAAGCATACCTGCTTCACCACAGCAGGAAGGCAAGAATCAGCATTGTCCAATGAACCTTGACCACAGCCAGACTGTGGATTTCCCACGGGACAATTAGCTTGAGAGACCTCCCTCCCAGCATCCAGCAGTCTACACTGCTGCTCATATGCAAACCAAGCACAAGAACAGGGCAAGCAGTGAGCAGCCACTTGCACGTCGCTTACTGTGTGCCCTACACCAGCACCTGTAGGATATGCTGGTCTGCCCCAGGGATCCCACCGCCTACCAAACAGGTGGTAACAAAAGCTGGTGTTGTGTCACTTGGTCATCAGAAATCTCTTTGCCCTCTGGGTTCAACCATTCACTCTGAGCAGAGAAAGCTGCCAGTCTGGGCACCAAAGCACCACATGTGAGGGCCTGGAGACAAAAGTGAGGCTCTGTCGACAGTCACAGAGCAAGCCGTTCTGCATGTGGCTCTCCCCGATATGCCAGGCCGTGGATACCCACAGCCCTGGGAGACCAGACCAAACACACAGCTGAGCTTATCCTTCTGAGTTCCTGACTAAGGATGCAACTGTTCCATCTGAAGTCTTTATTGGGGGAACCGGTTATGCGGCAACAGACACCCAATAGCACAAAGAAAACATGCAGGGCCCATAGATTTCTCCAGCTCAGAAGGAACAGGCAGGCAGCCTGGGACCCTGTGGTCAGAGAGTTGTGTCTGAAGTCACTGTGACTACTCCAGGCTGCCGAGCTCCACAAACTAGCCATGGTGGCACAAGTCTGTAATCCCAGCAACTAGAAAGTGGAGGCAGGAAGATGAGGAACCCAAGGCTAGCCTCGGCTACACTGTAAGCTATGATACACCCTTACAGAAGGACGCTCCGGGCCCAGGTGCACGCTGCAACTGCTCTGGAATAGCAGGAGGAAAGAGGGGGAGAAGGGCAAGCTGACCAAGCGTACTCAGACACTGACTCTGTTCTGCGGACCACAAATGGAGGAAAAGCTCACTTGATGCCATCCAGCCAGGTGACAAACTCATAGGCACTGCTGGTTGGAGCGTGACATTGTACGTAGGACTCTGGAGCGCAGTCCACTGTGTTGAACACCACAAGGCTGTACTGGGTTCCACCATACTGGGAGAACAGGACAAAAGAACTTTGAAACTCAAGTCTTAGGCAGGGAACTGCAGATCAGGTCCGTACCCAGCTTCCTCCCTCAGCCTCAGAGGTCTACCGGCCTCCTCCCAGGGACGCGGCCGCACACTCACGTCTCCACCGAAGTCCGTCTCTGCGGGCGGTCCCCCGTTGAAGTACCTAGAAAGATAGGAAATGCGGCGTCGGCACGAGCCGTAGATACAGCAGAGGGGGCGACGTGGGCCCTCACTCACTCGATGGCGGGCAGCAGGTAGTGCTTGCGGAGTCCCTCGAAGTACGGCCCCAGGTTTGCTGTGCCCTCGATCACAAACACCACATCGGCCACGAGGCCCCCGGCCCGAGCCGGGCCCTCGGACCCGGGGACCATGCCCCGCGCCGCCGCCGCCAGCGCCGCCGCCGCCGTTGCCGTCCCAGGACGAGCAGAAGTGCGCTTGCGCGATGCGCGCACCCGCGCCGGACGTCTGGAAGCCTCTGTTGATGCTAATGCGGCCATGTTTGTGCCGGGCACAAACGGGGAGTGGCGGTTTTATCTCTACCCTAGGGCTGCGGACACCATGAAACTCTCAGAATTGGCACAACGCGCCCCTTTAGGGGCCTCTTGAGATCGAACAAACTTTTGTCCACAATATCAACCACGAAATAAATCGGAAAACGGCACATCCGGCCACCATCTTGGAGTCGGTCTCGAGTTTCCGACTCCGAGCTGAAGGGGAGGTTTGGGGAACCAGATTGCTAGGCAACGCGTACCCAGCCGTTGTTCTCTCACACAGAGATTAAGTTAATAAATTCTAGTCTTTCTGACCGGGGACAGGTCCAATCACATCTTCGGAAACGACGTTGCCAGGCAACACTGTAAAGTTGCAGACGACTTGGAAGCCGGGGCAGTTGTTTTCGCTCGAAAAGAAGCGAATTCCAATTTAAGTGGCGGTTGCTAGGCAACACCTGATCCCTGTTTTCTGGGAAAGAATCCAGTAACTGGCGCAAAGCAAATACATTAGATAGATAGATAGATAGATAGATAGATAGATAGATAGATGGATGGATGGATGGATGGATGGATGGATGGATGGATGGATGGATGGATGGATGGATATTAAGAATAATGAAGAAATAAAAAAATAAATAAAATAGTGTACTAAAAATGCGTGGTATACTTGCGGGAAAACTTAATCTCAGCATTGCAGCCAATAGCATGAATATAAAATGACCTAGAAAATTACTGTAAAATCTGTGAACAGAAACTTAATAAATAACTCTTACTAATAGAAAGATACAAAGCCAGGATGGAGGGGAGAGGTGATGTCACAGAAACAAGCAGATCTTTGAGTCTGAGGCCAGCCCAGTCTACAGAAAATATCAGGACAGAGCTACACAGAGAAACATTGTCTCAAAAAAATAAAACAGGAAAAGGAAAAGAGCCCAGCCTGGCTGTATATGCTTTTAATCCCAGCATTTACAAAGCAGAGGCAGGTGGATCTCTGAGTTCAAGGCCATCCTGGTAAACAGAGTGAGTTTCAGGATAGCCAAGGCTACACTGAAAAACTGACACAAACCCATTTTTTAAAAATATTTACTTATTTATTATTATACAATATTCTGTCTGTGTGTATGTCTGCAGGCCAGAAGAGGGCACCAGACCTCGTTACAGATGGTTGTGAGCCACCATGTGGTTGCCGGGAATTGAACTCAGGACCTTTGGAAGAGCAGGCAATGCTCTTAACCACTGAGCCATCTCTCCAGCCCCATAAACCCATTTTTAAATGCGGGTGGTGGGAATATGAACTCAGACCCTCGGCTCGCACTAAACCATTTCCCAGATCCTGGTTTTAGTTGGGGTTTTGTCTTTCTTAGGGTCTGCAAGAAATCCCATAAAAGATCACCAGCCACATTGCAATCAGCAAGAGCACTTTATTAAAATTCTAACCTGTTCGGTGACACATGGTGACAGCCAGTGAGCCCCCAAAGACTTCTTTTAAGCAGGATTGGGGGAATTCCAGGGAGGCAAACTTAGTCTGGGGGCTGATCAGTGGGTTTAAACAGTTCACAGTTGCTACAGGATTGGTTGGTGGCTCAGAGGTTAGGCCTTGCCAGCTGCAGGCTGGGAGAAGCTCTCTTTAGTTCTCTGAAGCTTGCACAAGGCTGCAGGGCGCCCTCTGACTGGTTGCCCCTGGGTTGTGGCTTTCCCAAGAATGGCCTGCTCAGCTCCAGCCAGTCCCAGTAAACTGAAGCTAAGGCCTAGGACCTGGGAAGTCTTCTAGCAGGGCCTGTCATGGCCCTTGTCTGGCTCCCCTGGCCCTCTCTTTTCGTTTGTTTCCCTTATCCCATCACCCCACCCCAAAAACAGGGTTTCCCTGTGTAGTTCCGGCTGCCCTAAAACTTGCATGCCACCATACCTGGCTTTGTATTTGAGCTTTAAGATTTATTTTTGTTTTATGTGTATGAGTGTCTCTCTGCACACATATCACATGTACCATATGCTTGCAGTACCCATGGACACCAGAGGTCAGAACGGGAGCTAAAGGAGATTGTGAGCCATCATATGGGTGTTGAAAATTGAACCTGGTTCTTTGAAAAGAGCAGAAAGTACTCTTAATAACTGAGCCATCTCTCCAGCCTCACTTAAAATAAAAGTGAGCAGAGTGCTAAGCCTACCTGGACTGTAAGGCAAGCTCCAAGACAGCCAGGACTGTTACCTCTCTGAAAACAAAACAAAACAATCATTGTGTGTATCTGCTCCTTCCATCATGTGCGGAGTTAATAAAGAAGCCAGCTGGCCAATAGTTGGACAGGTAGAGGTTAGGAGGGACCTGTAGACACAAAGAGAACACAAAGAGGAAGAAGGGGAGTCTGAGAATCTCAAGGAGACTTGGAGAGAAGGAGACGAACTTAGAAAAGGTACCAGGCCACGTGACAGAGTGTAGATAAGAAAGAGTAACCAGCCTGAGCTATTGGCCAAGCATTTATAATTAACAGTAAATCTCTGAATGGTTATTTGGGTGCAATTACTGAGACACAGAGAAACTCTGCCTACAATTATTCCTTATGAACTACAGGAAATAAAATCCAGGCTGAAAACATGGGCTCTCTGCCGTCCTGTCTCCCCGCCATGCACTCGGCCACCCGAGAGCATCATTTTTAATAAAACGATGGGCATTTTGATTTGGTTTGATCTGACCTAAGTGGATTTCTTGTGCCATGCAGACCTGAAGACTGAAAACCACACGTTTCTCCTCTAGGAGCTCAGTTAAATACCCTGTGGGACTGCTCGCTCCCAACTTAACAGAAACAACATCCGTCTGGAAAAACAACAGTTGGGAGCACCGGCTACTCTTCCAGAGCACTGGGGTTCAATTCCCAGCACCCACACGGCAGCGCACAATTGTTTGTAACTCCAGGTCCAGGGGACCCAACACCTCTCACAGACATACATTCAGGCAAGATACCAATGCACATAAAATAAAAATAAATAAATAAATCATGAAAAATATTGTTTTGCAGTATATTTAATAAATGAGAGCAATTGCTCTCAAACATACAGTAACCAAGCTGCTAAATGTGCTAACCTAGATGTTCAGAGCCAGGGGTGTATGATAACACTGGGGAGCTGGGACCAGAGGGTCCCTGGTCACACAAGGAGATGCTGTTTGAAAAAATCTATTATTTTCTTGTATCACTTGAAACACACCAGAAGTAATATAATATTTATCAAAGGAAGATTGAGGGCCAAGGAAATGTTGGAAGGAGGAGCTTCAGTCAAGTAACTTTTGGCTACACAACATTCCAGGTCTGCATGGACTACAAGAGGCCCTGTCTCAATTTTTTTTTTTTTTTTTTTTTTTTTTTTTTTTTNTTTTTTTTTTGAGAAAGGGTTTCTCTGTTTAGCTCTAGCTGTCCTGGAACTCACTCTGTAGACCAGACTGGCCTCGACCTCACAGAGATCTGCCTGCCTCTGCTTCCCAAGTGCTTGGGAGTAAAAGCATGTACCACCACCGCCTGGCTACTATTTTTAATTTTTAAAAAGTAGCATTTTCTATTATGCAGAGTGTGCTATGGCGTGGGTCTGGAGATCAGGTTTGCAGAGTTCCAGGACTGCAGGCTCAGCAGCCCTTCATGCCAAGTGCTGTGATTCCCCCCAAGGGCCCCCAGTCATCCTTTTGATGGAGAAAACTATGAAGATGATAGTACAATAATCATATTTGTAACAATCTGTCCTTATCCTTGGTGCTCACTTCTATTGTTTCATGGAATGAGGTTTTCAGTACTTTGACTTTCTTTTACGCGATACACATCACGAGCATAAATTCATGACAGAAATAATGTGGTTTTTATGACTTTGGAAAAGAAAGGCTTTCTTTTCTTTGCTTCTTTTTTTTTTTTTTTTTTTTTTAATAGCAAAAACAGCCAGTTCGGTTCGTGGTTACTAGGCAACACTGCCCGGATCAAACCACTCTGAAAAAGGGAGAGGGGGATGCACATTATTCTGAATGGTAGTTGCCAGGCAATGCCTGAACATACCGCCATCTTTGATTGGGGCAAGGTATGCACTATGGAATGAAAAAAGCCACGCAGACTGGTGGTTGCCAGGCAATGTCTTAGCACTGTCTTCATCTTCAACCTGCTTGTTGTTTAAAAAAAATAGCATGTAAATTATTACAGCACACATGAAGGTTGGCACCATCACCATCTTCAAGCTATCGTCTTCTTTCTCGTTATACAAAGGATGTGATGCTGTCCAGGAGCAATTTGAGCGCTTGGCAAGCACTGCTTGTCGCCATCTTTGTTAGGGTCAGGATGACTTCCGACTAGCGCGGAAGACACTCTAACCCGGTTGGTGGGCTTGAGTTGAGGAAGGCGGGAGTTTGGCCATCTCGCTTCGCCCTCTGGCGGCTCCAGCCAGCGGGTTGGTCGGCTTGAGTAGCGCCGGCTCCCGAACCCACACCGAAGACCCCCGGGGGTGGCTTCCAGATGGGGGAGGAGGGGCCGGGAAGCACGGTTCACCTGCTGTGCCTCGCGGCCTCCAGCGGGGTCCCCCTGTTCTGCAGGAGCAGCGGCGGCGGCGCCCCCTCCCGTCAACAGGTGGGGCATTGAACTCCTGCACCTAACTAGGGGTTTGGGAAGCTGGGACTGCACACCTCGCAGGGAGTAGATGCCGGGGGCCTTCAGCCTGATTTCCCGCAGGAGGACTTTGGGGGCGTGTAGGGGAGGCTGCAGAGCGGGACACTGGGTGTCAGGCGGGAGGGATTCGGCGGTACTACCGTGTTTCCCACTCCTCAGCTTCCCTTCTCTGTCATCGGCTCCCTCAATGGAGTCCACATGTTCGGGCAGAATCTGGACGTGCAGCTGAACTCTGCAAGAACGGAAGGCACAACTGTGGTGTGGAAGAGCTTCCATGACAGGTCCCTTGTTCCGTGATCCTGTCCGCAGTGCA